TCTCCATCATCCTGACTCCTGGGAAGCAGGTTATGCTCAGTGGCAGCACCCCCCAATACCTTCAGCCCATCCTTTGGCCTTCCCCCACTCCAGTGTCTCCTGTTTTCCCCCCTGGCCCACTACACCCTCTTTTCCTCCGGCTCCGTCCTTTCTCCCTCCCTCTCCCCGCTTCCCTGCCTGCCTCCCTCTCTGCCCGGCTGCAGTTGGGTGATAATCTCCCTCATTTAGCCTCCTGGCTGCTTCCCCGGCTCATTGCCCAGCTGGTCCCTGGGGCCGGGCCCAGCTTCTTCCCCACCCCCACCCCCAGCCCAGCGCCCAAGCTCTCCCGTCCCCTCCCTGCTTCCCCCACCCACTCCCGGGGGACCAGCTGCCCCCTGCAGTGAGCATCAGGGCCAAGTGTTGCTGGCCAGAACCTGAACTGAGCGTGATCAGAACGGGAAGGGCTGTCAGGACTCCAGTTGGGAGTGTGGGTGCCCAGGGCAGGGGCCACGGGTCAGAGGGCTGGCCGCAGGGCTGTGAAGTCCTAGCCAGGTGTCCTCTGTCCTCCCGTCGCCCTCATTCCCCAGATTTGTCCCCCCCCCCCCCCCGATGAACCAGGCTTCCTGCCTGAGAGAATGGTGGACAGGCTGTGAGGTGAGATTAGAGGCATCTGTGCGGCCTGACAAGACAGGGCATGGGAATGGGGGCAGGAGGGTGAGGGAGGTGACAGGGAGGACAGAGGTTCTGACTCAGAGCACCTGGGAGCGGGCAGGAGGTTTTATTTGGGCAAAATCCCCCACAGGCCAACCCAGAGAACTCCCAGGATGCAGCTTGGGGGGCTCCCAGGGCGCCTCTAGGCCCTTCCCGCATCAGTGCTCTTGGGTTCTGCCTCTTCACCCCGCACAGGGCCTCCCAAGCTGAGCTGCACTTGCCCCTTCTCCCCATGTGTGGCCCCAGCTCCTTGCCTGGGTGGCCCCATTCATAAATGACATGACCCCCAAACTCTTAGAAAGCATTATCTTAGAGATAAGAGTCCCCAGCCTCCCCCGGTCCCAAAGGACACCCCCTGGCCACCCTCGACATGCCAGTCACCGTCCCAGACCCGGCTCTGGTGCGGACCAAGGGATGAGCCAGTGTGGGACAGACATGGTCGGGAAGGGACAAGGCTGGGGGTGGGGGCCGGGACTGGGCAAGGCCTGACTGGCGAGCAAGCCGCAGTGACAAACGGGCTGTGCGGGGGCTGAGGGGCGGGGGGCGGACCGTGGCTGATTTATCTGGGTTATTTATGCTGCGGACGAGGCAGGAGAAACGGTTAATGAGAGTCCCAGAGAAGGGGGGTGGGGAGGGTCGGACGTGATCTGAGGCGACTTAGGAGGGTTATCGGCCCACCACCAGGCCCTGCCCCCCACTGCCCTCCAGCACTCTGCATCCCAGACCTCGACCTAGGACCAGCCCAGTCCAGCCCTGACCCCTCTCCTGTGGCACCCCAATCCCCTTTTGGGATGCCACGCTTAGACAGTGGGTCACTGGGGATGAAGGAGACCAGGTCCAAGATTAAGGGGCAGCTGGAGGAACTGGGGAGGGGGCCAGGCAAGGGAGGGCAGGGAAAGAAGAAAGATAAATCTTGGCTGGACAGAAACTGACCAAGTCTGCGGGGCTGGTGGGGGAGGGGGAGGGCAGAGGAGGTTAGTGTAGCAGTGGGTGGGCAGCTGCCAGTCTCGGAGCTGAGGCTGGAGAGAGGGCATTGGGGTGCAGGTCTGGTGTAAGCCAGGAGCCATCGCGGGGCCTGAGAGGCAGAGACAGGCCGGGGTGGGGGGTGCTGGTCAGAGAGAAGAGAGAGGCAGGGAAGGAGGGGGGAGAAGATCCAGAAGAGGAGGGGGAGAGGGCTTTGCAGCAGCGAAAGCTGCTGGGAACAGATAAGGCGGCACAGCAGCAGGAGGGATTAAAGCTCTGAAGGGCGGGGGCGGGGGCGAGGCAGGGAGGAGGGGGTTGAGGGCAAGACATCAGGACCAAGGAGATGAGGGGGAGAATTGAGGGCTGCCAGAGGGGCAGGATTTAATAAGAAGCAAAGAGGTGATTGTCGCCTAGGAAAGAGGGAGGATAGAGGGGGCCCCTGCTCATCTCTTTGACAGAGGGGATCTTTCCACCATTGGCGAGCCCCACACCCTGCACACGTAGGGTAGCAGAGCTCAGCGGATGGGTGCATTACTGAGGGCAGGGTACTAGCGGTAGATTGCTGGGTGGGAGTAGTGGCAGAAGCCAACTCTGGGAGCAGCTGAGCTCCTGGCAAGAGTAAGGGCACACAGCGCCTCCTTGAGGTGGCCAGTGAAACCCAGGGCGCGGGGAACACCGGTCTAGGGTACCCAGCCAGCCTGTCCTCAGATGGAGGCCCCATCATGCCCAGGAGGGCAGGGACCAGCATTTCAAAGGGGGTTTCTTTGTGGGGAGGGTATCGAGGGAGGGCAGGTGGCCTCTCCAGGAACAGCCCTGCTGTTCTCCAAGCCTCCCAGAGTGTGGTCTTGGGGAGGGTTAGACCCCTGATCCTTCCAGACAAGAGTCTAGGGCAGTTCAGAGGTGGTTGTGGTGATGGAGGGGCTCCTGGAGGGAAGGAAGAGGAAGAATAGGAGGAGCAGGGGGTGGTGGGTGGGGCAGAGTAATTGCGTGTTTGTCAGTTCTGTCTGCACTCGAGGGAGCGTGTGTGGTGGTGGATATAGCTTCGCCTGCAGGAGCATGTGTCTGTTGGCAGAGGTGTCAGTATGTCTGTCTCGGGGGTCTGGGCTCTCCTTGGCCCCCGCCCCCCCTTTGTGTTTTGGGGGTGGTGGCACTGGGCACACCCAGCTGTGCTCCGTGCTGATGCGGCAGATGTGGCGGGGCCCCAGCTGTGTCTGTTTCCCGGAGAGGGGGAGGGGGCTGCAATCTGCTCCCCCGATAATGGCTGCTAAGTGCTGCAGGGAGGGGATGGAGATGGGGGTAGGACTGGGGCCCCGGGCAACTCCACCGAAGGGTCAGGAAGATGAAGGCCCAGTCCCTGCCCCACCCTGTCCTGGCCAGCCTCCTGGCAATCTGTTCTTGGCTTGGCCTCTTCCCCTGGTTGGCTCCTGAAGCCCATCCAAATCTCTCATCACTCAGTCCCCGTCCCCAGCTCTCCTCCTGACGCCCCATCCAGCTTGGTGCCAGGGACCCGCCCCTCTCCCTGGCCCCCAGCTCGCTCCCCCTCGCTGATTTTACAGAATAATCTTTTTATGGAAACCGAAAAAAAGGCACTAATGGCAGGAACGCACCCCTCCCCCGCATCCCTCCCCTGCTCATCCCCCACTTCCCACCCCGGTTCCCTCAGTTCTCCCTTAACCCCTCCGGGGGGCCAGCACCCTCCTACCCCTACAGGGACGCAGTCCCAGAGGTGAGCGAGAAGGGGGCTCCCTGTTCTCTCTCCCCTCCACAGGCAGGGGCTCCCATATCCTAAGCCCTAGCAGTACCCCCAGAGATGGATGGGCTCTGGGCCCCTCCCAGGGCAGAAAAGGCTGAAGAGGAGTGGGAAGCATTACAACTTCCCTTTCTTAGCTCCCTTCCACCTGAGCACATACACGCCAGTGACTCCATCAGCCTGGGGGCATGTTACAAGGACCTCAGCTGTACTAGCCCCTCCCACTTGGAGCACTGACCCTTTCCCCTTCCAGTGCCTCCCCCAAGTCCCCCCACACTGGGCCTAGGAGGGGGATGCTGGGGGGCAGGGCCTGACACAGACTTATTGGATTTCACGGTGTTTTGCTGAGAAAATAATTAAATTATCATATTTATGATGGAGCTGCCATGGCCTCTGCCAACCATTCAGAACGGAAGGGTCAGGACTGGGAGGAGGAAAAGTAAGGGACCCAACTCCTTCCTCAGGGAGTTGACCCCAGGCCCAGAGTAGGCATCTACTGCCTCCTCCCAACCACAGCAGAGGACGGAAGGTCTGGGCTGGAGGCAGGAACCCGAGAGAACAGGAAGGGGTTGAGTCCAGGAAGATTAGAGGTCATGACTGCCAAACCCCTGGGTCATTGCAGGTGCTCTCACGAAGCCTGCAGGACCTGAGGGCCTGGGAGGTCACTTCCAGCCTAATCCCCATGTCACCCTCAGCCCAGCTCCTGAACCAGCTCATCTTTCTAACTGCCTGGCTATGAAGCTATGAAATCCTGGGCTCTGTCCCAGACCCTGGTGCTGATAACAAGGCCCAGCACCCTGCTGCCTGCTGCCAGGACCCCATCCTCCCTCCCACCCACGCCCTGCCCCCCCCCCATTCTCTTCGGGTAATTAGATTCCTCTCAATTAGCAGATTACGATCATTACTAGCTCATCTGGCAACTAAGCTCCGCACCCACAGCTGGGGAGAGGGGGGGCACCAAGAGGGGCACGTGGGGGTCATGGGCAACATGAGTGATGCTGGGTTGCTCTGGGGTTTCAGGAATGTGGAGTGGCGGATGAGGCTTCTCGAGGAGCAAAGCCAGGATGGTGGGGGTGGCCAGGCATCCTCTCCCAGAACAGCGCTGCCTACTGTGAAGACTGAAGGCACCAGCCAGGTCCACTGTGCCTGCCAGGGGAGCAGAAGAGACACCAGGCCTCTGGTGGGCAAGGGAGAAACCCCCACTGTCAAAAGCTGGGCTAGGATGGGATGCAGCTGGCAAAGCAGAAAACAGGCCGGGGTTGGGGCAGGAAGTGAAGACGGGATGCCCGGTGATCCAATCTCGGGCCTGTGGCTCCCAGTCCCTGTGCCTGCCGCCTGAACCCCACTGCCCAGCTGAAGTCCTTCACCCATCCCTTCGAAAGCCCTGCGCTCCGAGGCCTGAGCCAGAACCAGTGAAGAGGAACAGGGAGGCGGGCGGGCAGGCAGCATCAGGGTAGGGGTGAAGGCGGGCCCGGCAGGCTGGGAGCCTTGAGGGCCTTTCTCCCGAGCAGCAGCGAGCGGCGCTGAGGCAGTGGGAGGGGGAGATTTACCAGGGCTCCAGATTCATTATTCATGAGCCCGCAGCGACGACTCCAATTTAAATGCTAATGTGGGGGGGCCTGACTCAGCTGCCCCCCTTCCACCCCCACACCAGTCCAGGCACAAGCTGAGTCCTCGCTGGCTCCAAGGTTCATGGGGTTTATTAGGAGTGGAAAGGGAGGCCAGGAGTCCTCTGCCCACCCACGTTGTTCTGGATGTGTGAGATTCTGCCTGGCTTCCCCAGGTCCATTCTGGACACAGGCTGGAGGGGTAGGAGTTGGGGGGGCCCTGTGGCAGCCCCCTTCAGAGGATGATCTGGTTGGTGAAGCTTCGGCTCAGCTCCTTGTGTGGCAGAACGATCGAGTTCAGGATGAGCACCTCAGCAGGGATCCGGACACGGCAGCCTGCAGCCAGGATGAGGGCACCAGGAGACCATGGGAGAGGAAGCCGGGGCGAGGGGGGGGTCCGCTGCCATCAGGAGGGATCCCTCCCTGCCCATCTGTGCCCTGGCCCCATGCCCCCAGTGACTCACACAGGGCCTGGCACAGCAGGCACTTGGTAAATGTTTGCTAAAGGAAAACACACACACACACACACACACACGCACACGCATACACAAATTCTCCCCACAGCCCACCTGTATCACCTGTGATGGTTTCTCTCAGCCCTAAGTCCCCTAGGAAGCCATACCCAGGATGGTGATGGCAGGCAGCAACTTCCCATCCTTGAAGAGGCTCTCACTGTCCATGTGGGCTCGAGGGTCGTTGGGATTGGGGTCATTCGGGGTACCCTCCACACGGGCCCAGCGCCCCACAGTGCTTCCCCAGCCCACAATGCTGTGCAAAACACATGTGTGCTCCTGCCAAACAGGACAGTGTGAGTTGAGGAGGCAGATGCAGAGCCTGTGGGGGTTCACCCCCAGCCTCCTGGGGTACCAGGCCCTACTGCACGTGCTCGGGTGCCTACCTGTAGCGTGGCTCCATGAAGGACAATGCTCTCTCGGAGCCGCACACCCTCGCCCACAGTCACCCCCTCCCCAATGGAGACGTTGGGGCCCAGCTGTGGAAAGGAACATATACCATAAGCCCCGGAGGGGCTTGGACGATCCCAAATCCAAACCCCTCACAAGGGTGAAGGAACCTAGTTGGGGCCTATGATGGGCTGTGACAAACCTAAGAGACTGTACTCCGAGCTCAGGAGATACCCCCCCGCCCCACCTACCTTCCTCTCCCTGGGCTGGGCCACTGCTTACCACAGCTGATGGGGCCACCTTAGCCGTTGGGTGAATGTAAACATTTCCTAGAAGCAGAAGAGAGGAGCCTGGGGACAAATACCCCAAACCATATCTAGTTCAGGGGGGGCAGGAATTGAGATTTCACCTCTGGATCTGAGGTCAAGAGTCACAGCTCAGCGAGCAGAGGGGGCTGTTGTAGGAGACAAAGGTTGGGAATGGTGGCAGGACGGGTACCTCGAATCCGTGGCCCCCCTGGGCTGTGCTTGGTCAGGCGTTCGGGGTGCGTGAGCTGGTACTGGCCCAGGTAGAGGCGGGAGGCATAGAGTGCGGAGCTGGGGGCCACAAAGTGGAGCAGGGGCTCAGGGGCCAGTAGGGCCTGGACCCGCCATCCTGAAGCCTTCTCCCCCCAAGCCCCCCATCAGAGGCCTCTCCCATACCCTGCAGACTTGATCTGGCTCCAGATCCCGTCAGTGAGGTACACGTAGATCTGGCCCTGCCCAGCCAGGGCCGAGAACACATCCTGCTCCAGGCGGATGGTGCCTGCCCCCCGCCACAGGCCTGAGGAGTCCTCCCTGGCAGGGGGACAGGATGCTGACGTCAGTCCCCAAGGGAGCCCAACTGGGTGGCTAAGAGAGGCTCGCTCAGGGATGGGAATCGGAGAGAACCTCACTACCTTGCAAGGCCTGGTCAGAGCCTCTCCAAAGGATGTTTGCGTCCCAGGAAGCTCTCCCACCACTCACCTCCATCAGCCCCTCGCTCTCCCAGCTCAGAGATTATCCCGGGGCAGCCCCAGGCATACCCCTGCTGCCCATCCTGCCCCCTTGTCCAGAAGGAGCTCGGCCAGACTTGCCTCCTCCCAATTACCCCATTCTCCTCCCATCCACACCTCTGAACCCCACCTCCGGGCCCTCCCTCTCACTGGATGGAATGAAACACGGACAGACTCACCCCACAGGAAGGCAGCTGGTGAGGGCAGAAGACAGTCACAGAAAAAGAGGGAGAGAGAGATGGTAGAGATGCCAGTTCAGCAGAAACAGAGAGGCCAGGAGAGATGGGAAGAGAAGCAGATACGGGTGGAAGTGAAAAGGCGGCTACGAGTGAATGAGGCATGAGAGGGAATGAAGGCAAGAAGCCACAGAAGGGCCTAGGAGGACCACCCTGGGACTGCGGCTGGTGCTGAGCACAGCTCCCTCTGGGGCACTATACTCCAAAGGAAGCTTCCGCAGCCTGAGCGTGTGCGCGTATGCGCGCGCGCCTGCACCCAAGCGCGTGTGCGCCCAAGTGTGTGTGTTACCGTCTGTTCTGAAAGACATCTCTGGGACATTCAGGGTTTGAGAGCAATGGACCAGAAGGGGAGTGGGCAGGTGTTGACAGAGGAGGATCTGGGATGGATAAAGAAGAGGGACAGAATGAGGTTAGAAGGGGAGGGACTGAGGAGGCTTGGCTAGAGATGACAGTGGAGGGGGAGAAGGAGGAGGAAGATGAGCAGGTTGAAATGGAGCCAGCAGAGACTGGGCAGGGGGCTATGACTTGGGGTTACAGGGCCATGGGGTCTGCCTCACAGTTGCCCATCCTTCTGATTACGCTGGAAGACATCCCGAAGGGGCTTCAGAGCTTCTGGGGAAAAGAGGTAGACGCCGCAGTTGATGATGTCACTGACGAACGTGCTGGGTTTCTCCACATAGTGCAGGACCTGAGGACAGAGTGGGCTGGGGTCAGAAGAGCAGGGACCATGGCCACCATCCCCCAAGATCTTTCAAATCTCCTGGTCCTCCTGTTGCCACAGAGGGTCTTCCTAAAATGCAGAGCACATCTTGTCACTGCCCTTCAACTTCACCTTCAAGGTAAGTCCCAACTGCCTGCTTTCTCCCTCTTGATCCTTCCCACCTGCCAGCGGTCCCGGAAGACAACTCCATGCCGTGGCATGTGGGTGCTTTTCCGAATGCCCTTAACCAACTCTTCACCTGGAAAACTTCCCTTTCAAAAACTCAGCTGACATGGTCACTCCCTCTCTAAGTACACTCTTATCTGCCCCAGGGTTAGCTTCTCAGTTCTGGGCCCTCCTGTGCTCTGGTCACGCCTCACCCACAGTGGCACGTGTGTCATCTGCGATGGTTGATTTTGATGTCTCTCCCACCAGACTGAGGGCTTCTGAGAGGCAGGAATTGTCTTTCTCGCTCTGTTTCTCTCACACTGAGCTAGTGCCTAACACAAAACTTTTTGTGTGTGTGAATCTCTCTCTCTCTCTCTATTCATATGTGGTTTTTTTTTCTTTATTGATTTTTAGAGAGAGAAGAAGGGAGAGGCAAATAGAAACATCAGTGAGAGAGAACATGCCCCCCACTAGGGATTTGGCCCACAACCTGAGCATGTGCTCTGACTGGGAATTGAACTGGTGACCTCTTGGTGCATGGGTCGACGCTCAACCACTGAGCCACACCGGCTGGGCTTCACATGTATTTTTTTTAAATCCTCTCCCGAGGACATTTTTGTTTTTTGTTTTTTTTGCATTTATTCCCAGATAGAGCAGGAGGGAGAGAGGGAGGGAGGGAGGAAGAGAGAGAGAAACATCGATGTGAGAGAGACACATCGAGTGGTTGCCACTCACACGACCCCAACCGGGGCCGGGGACAAACTGCAACTGAGATACGTGCCCTTAGTAAGAACCAAACCCAGGACTCTCCAGGTCCGTGGGCTGATGCTCTAACTGCTGAGCCAAACCGGCCAGGGCTTCACATGTATTTTTAATACTAAAACCTGAACAAACAAAAGGGGTGCATGAAAGCCAGCTAGGCTCCAGAGCAGGGAGTTTCAGAGACAGAGATTCCCCACCTCCCACGCCCCCACCCACCTTGCTAATTATGCTCCCACCTCCAAAATTCCAGAGGCACTATGCTGTTTCCTGCCTCCATGCCTTTGCACATGTCATTCCTTCTACCTGCAATGCCTTCCTGTCTCCTTCATGTTGACAAATTCAATTCAGTTCAGACCTCACCTCCTCCAGAGCACTCCCCACCCTCACCCACGTGGGCTGGGTCGGGCCCCCTTTGGTGTTGTCCTAGCACCCTGTGCATGTCTATTGGAGCACCGCATCCATGGCATTTATCTGTTACCTCTTCACCAATCTTCCTTTTATAAATGTTCTTTATTGATTTTAGAGAGAGAGGGAGAGGAAGAGAGAGAGATAGAAACATGGATGAGAGAGAACATCGACTGGCAGCCTCCTGCATGCCGTCCACTGGGGATTTGGCCCACAACCTGGGCATGTGCCCTGACTGGGAATTGAACCGGCGACCTCTTGTTCACCAATCTTTCTTAGAGGGGCAGAACAACTGAGGGTGTGCCACACCTCTTTAACAAGACTGGGGCCCACCCCCTCACATGCCAACATTTTCTAGAGGCTCAGTGGTGGGAGAATGATGACACGTAGAATAGGCACCTAGCCAGCCACCTCTCTGCTCTTACCTCGTGTGTCTGTGGATTCTCTACGATGCAGCCATAGTTGAGGGATTGTGTCCTGTTAGCCTGAAAGACAGACATACTGAGACAGTGACCTGCCTGCTCCAGGGCAGCAAGGTCTGTTTTCTCTGTCTTGCTTTCCTTCTCCTATAACACCTGGCACGTAGCTCCACCACCGACAAGCCTTCAGCTGGGGTGAGAGCTGACAGCTGCCCTCCCCCACCACTTCTGAGCAATGAAAGGGCTAGAGGTCCCTCTCCACCACCACCTCCATTACTGCTGGGTTTCTAGACTCATCCCTCCTGATGCGCATTCTCACTGCAACTCCCCGGGTTGGCCCTGCCTCCCCAACACCCTGCGTTCCAGGAACCTTTCTAGATCACCCTCTCGACACCCTACAGCCCTCCAGGTCCCCTCACCGTAGTGCCCAGAAGCAAGAAAGGGTGAGGCTGGTGTCTGTGGGCAGCCAACATGGCACTCAAGGGGAAGTCGGAGCAAACATCAGCGTTGAGCACGAAGAAGGCTTCGGGGCCCCCAGCCAGGATCTGATCCCGGAAATGGTAGAGACCGCCTCCTGTGCCCAGAGGGGCAAATTCCTGCAGGTACCTGTCCCCAGAGACCCCAGAGCCAGCTCAGTGAGATCAGAGGAGACAGACACCATGAGCCTCAGCACCGGACCCTTCCTGTTCCCAGGATATGCTTTCCCAAGGCCCACAGAGAAACTCAATATATACAGGGATTCAGGAATGTCCAAAAAGAAACCTCCTAGTGTGTGTGGGTAACTTCTGGCAAATGCTGACTCAACCCACTCTGAGAACTGGGACAGAGAACTCAGATGCCCAGGGCACTGCTCCCCCACAACCTTTGCAGCACATGTGCAAAAACACCTGACCTGACTGGAAGGTTAAACTCTTGCTGGGCAGCTTCTAGGAACCGGGTAAGTGGTTCATCAGGTTGGTAGAAGCCAATGAGCAGAATCTCCTGCATTCCAGGGACCTGAGGACCAAAGAAGAGGTTGAGAGAAAAATAACATCTGATAGGAGCAAATGACAGGAGGGTGAAATCCCTGTACTGGCCCCAAATCCAGAAACCACACTTTCAGTCTCAGCCGGGGCCCTGGGCACTCATTTTACCATGCTGGCTTGATTTCTCCTCTGGACAATGAGAAAGCTAGAACGTCTCAGTCCCTGGTCTTTTCATCTTTTATTAGTCTATTATTCCCCCCCACCGCCACATCTGAAGTGGGGCTCACACTAGGATAGATTTTGCCTATCAAGCTGCATTATAGGATAATCCATTCATTTCCCCCATATTTATTATCTGTTAATCTGAGCTTGAGATCAGCATGAGGTAAGGATACCATTTATCAAGTGCCTACATTGTACTAGTTACTTTACAAACATGATCTCTAAGCTTTACAACCCCACAAAACAGGTCTAATCACCTCCTCTTTGCAAATAAGGAAACAAGAGCTGAGAAAGGGTGAGAAATTTGCTCAATTCCTTTTAGCAGACAGAGACAGGACTCAAATCAAAACCTTGCTGGTCCCAATACCAAAAGCAATAAAGAAATTAGCTCCACAGTGAGCAAGGGTAGTATGATTCGGTGCTTTATCATTAAGGTTTCCCATGCTACAGCTTTAAATTATCTCTAAGATTCCTGCTTAATCTCACAGTCCAGGCATTAAACATAGGAGTGAAATCTGAACAAGAAGAGGCCAGATGAGAGACTAGATTAGGAGAAGACAGCAGGACAGCTAGCTGCATTGTACCACTCGGGGTGGGGGGACATTCACATTGTCATTTGTAAATAGTGGTTTCTGGAGTTACGCTCGGTGGAAAGAAGTCATGATTGGAAAGGGGAGAAATACGGCATCAAGGATATGAGCAAAAACTGAGGTAGGGGAGGGGAGCTTATGGGATTACCTGGGCACAGGCCTCAATGTGGTGCTGGATCATAGGGACCCCCGCCACTGGAAACAGGGGTTTGGGCACCTCAAAAGACAAAGGCCTGAAGCGAGTCCCTAAGAGAGGAAAGAGGAGCACATTTCAGTTTTCTGCCTCCCTCTGCCCCCACCCCAAAAACCACTCCAGCCCAACCTCCTCCCCCCATCCCCCTGGCTCCTCACCCTTTTGAGGGCCTCCAATCAGGATTACAGCTTTCAGCATGACGGCAACTGCTACCTAAATCTCAAGTCCCAACAGAGAAGTCAGGCTCAGATCTCACACCCCAACCCAGGAACCCCACTCACACCCCAACCAAACCCCAAGCCCAAAACAGCAACACTGAGCCCACTCTCTCCCAGGACGTAAATCCAAAATTCAATTAGTCCCTCCCTGGGCACAACACCTCACAAATCCCACACATCTCAAATCCCAACCCAATTCCAGCTGGTCTTCAAACCCCTCAGTGATTCCTCCCAAATCCTGAAATCCACACTCCACAATTTGATCCTTAACAGACTTCCTTCTGGCCACAAACAGCAAACTCAGAAACTCAGCAATAGACCTCCTTCTCAAACCTTAAAAAACCAAAACTCCAAACCACTGATCCCCAACTTGGTCCATCTTCACTCAGATGTTAAGTCCTGAATGACAATAGTGAACCCTGATATTGAATCTCAAATCCTGAGTGAGCCCCAAATATTTAATAAGGAAACACTCAACACTTGAGTGAACTTCAAGTATTGAACTAACACTGATCTAGATATATTTGACAAATCCAAACCCTAGCAAAAGCCCTCTTTGTGCTGAACCTAAATCCTAAAATTAACCTCTAGGTAATGAACCTTGAATCAAAAGACAGGTACCCTTGGCATCCCAAACACAATATGCCAATCCCCTGTGTCCCAATACTGACAAGTGTTGAATCTTTGGATTCAGAAGATTGATTGCTGGTTCTGAACCTCACAACTGACTCCAATAGACCCTAACCTCGCATATCCAGGGGTTTTGTGGCCAGTACAGCACCCGACGTGCGGAGAGCCAGCCAGGAACTCCGATCCGCCCTGTCTAGGAGCCGTGCCCTGTCTTCGACCCCTTTCGCCACCCTTCCATCAGATCTCTTTACCACTAGTCCCCTTTATGCCAGCTCTGCCGCCCGCTACTGCTTGCTCCTTCCGCGCACGTGTCTTCTCGCAACTCGCGAGAGCTTCGCAAAGCCTGCCGGGAATTGTAGTTCTTAAGTTTCTTCTCCCCCACCTTGTAACTGAGGTGGAACTTGTAGGAGGACACGGGGGCGTGGCCAAAGGGCTGAAAGGGCGGGTCTAAGGAAAAGAGGCGTGCAGCCTGTGAAAGGCCAGAGCCCTAGTAGGACCACTAGCTGTCTGGGAATGGGCCCGGGGTTAGCAGCCAAAGTAGAGAACTAGGTCACAGGGAGACGCGAGGCTGGAGACGAGAGGGGGTGTGGTCACCCTTGAAACGGACGTGGGCAGCGCGCAAATCTCCCACGAAAGGGTGAGGCTTGAGCTTTACAAAAGAAAAGAAGGCGGAGTCATAGACGCTTCTGCCCCTCCCGCGGGAAAGTAAAGGAGCTTCCAACCGTGAGCGAAGCCTATCTCACTCAGATTTACTGTCTGCAAAATAAGGCACTGGACTGGGCACTCTCCAAACTTCCCGCAGACCTCAACACTCCGTGACTTTGGTGTGTGTGGGGCTGCCGGAGAGTGGAAATGGCGACTCAAAAGAAGAGAGGAGACGCGGAGGGTCAGAGAGAGCAGCTTTATTAAACAAGACGGAGGGGGGTTGTTAGTACCACCCACCCCGGGGCTTGGAAACAGAGAAAGTTCCGAGGGTCCCTTTCAGGCCACATCCACGCGAGCGAAGCTCTGGTCCATGCCCAGGCTGTTCTCCACGTACACCTCGTACTTGCCACTGTCCTGGGGTGTGGCCCGGCGGATGGTCAGCGTTGTGGTGGTACTGCCAATCTCGAAGTACACCCTGCGGGGAGGAGGAAGAAGGCGGGGCCGCGCATCCATTTACGTGTTTCGCGGGCCGGACTTTATAGCCTCCCAGTGCCCCGCCCTCGTCCCCCTCCCGCGGGTTTGCTGGGCCCCATCCGGCCCAGGCTCCAGCGCCAGGGCCAGCCCTCACCTGTCATCCTCCTCGATGTCCTTCCCGTCCTTGGTCCAGCCCACGTCGGGCGCAGGCTCGCCCATGATCTCCGCACTCAGCGTCACCGTGGTGCCTTTGCGCGCCTTAGTGTTATCCGGTCCCTTCTGAATTTTCGCAGGGACTAGAGGAAGAAAAAGGGAATGCGACCCAATGAGGGACCTAAAGGTAAAGCGGCATATCACCTTCCCAGCTAATACCCGGTCCTAAATACGAGGTGTATTTAAACTCTCAGTGTGACCTTGGGCAAGTCTTTAGCCTCCCTGGGGCTTCAGCAGCTCAACTGTATTTTTTATTTTTATTTATTTTTATCCTCACCCGAGGACATTTTTTGATATTTTGTTCAGATAGAGTGGGAGGGAGAGAGAGAAACATCGACGTGAAAGGGACACATCGAGCGGTCGCCACCCACACGACCCAATCAAGGCCGGGGACAAACTGCAACCGAGGTATGTGTCCTTAGCGGGAACCGAGCCCGAGTCTCTCCAGACCGCAGGTCAACAGCTCTAACCGCTGAGCCAAACCAGCCAGGGCTCAACTGTATTTTTTAAAAATTGATTTTAGAGCATGAGGAAGGGAAAGGAAGAGGGAGAAACATCTATCAGCTGCCTCCTGCACGCTCCCTACTGGGGATTGAGCCCGCAACCCTGGCATGTGCCCTGACCGGGAATCAAACCAGTGACCTCTTGGTGTATGGGCTGAGGCTCAACCAATTGAGCCAGCCACACTGCTGGGCTCAACTCAACAGTTAAATGAGACTAATCCCTGCCCCTCCTACTTCTTAGGATTGAATGGAGGATCAAAAGAGATACTGTGGGTGAAAGCCCAGGAAAGTTCACACATCTCGGGGTGCCATGGAGACGGCTCTGGGTAGTGGAAATTGCCCTGGGTTGGGAGCCAGAAGACCAGGGCTCTCTCTAACCCTGGCTCTGCCTCTGGATCGCTGTGACCTTGGGGCCCTGAGTGATTGAAACCCATACTGGATTTCTTAGCCTGAGTGGGATAGGATCCCGAGGTAGAAAAAGGACTACACAACCAGTGCGGCGTTGTGCCCTGCTCTGTGCCTCAGGCTGTGCCAGGGGCTGGGCTGGCCACATCCCCATCCGGACTCAGCTAGGCCCAGGGATAATAAACGCGCGGCTGCATCCGGCTGCGGACGCCCACGGGGTGATGCTGCTATGAGTGGTGGCATTGCACCCAGGGCGCGCGTACCTTCCACGAGGATGCGCGCCGAGTCGGAGCACTGGCCAAAGGGGTTGGTTACGTTGATGCTGTACTGGCCCAAGTCCGCCAGCTCGCCATCGCGCACCACCAATGCGACTACGTCAGGGTCCTCGAAGATGTAGCGATACTTGGGCCCGTCCCGCAGCTCCTTGCCATCCTTGCTCCAGCGGATGAATGGGTCCGGGAAAGCCGAAATGCGGCAAGTCAGCTTGGCCGCGCTGCCCTCGATCAGCACCACGTCCTTAAGCGGCTCCAGAACGCGCGGCGGTCCCTTCTCCCGTAGCTCCTTCCGGGACCTACCCGCGGGCAAGGTCAGGGCCCAGAGCTCCCACGACACTGTTCCCATCCGGTCGCAGCCCTGTCCACCAGAACAGTCCCCTGCCCGCCCGCTCTGCCCACGACACCCTTAAACCCGGGGAGGTGGGAGGGAGGGGTCGCTCCTGAATCGTTAACCTAATAAAATGATCCACTTTTGTGGGCCACCCTTCCACAGCTCAGTAACTGTTCTCCCCTAAGTCCAGTGACCTTAGCAGTCCACGGCACTGTGTTCAGTACCGCCCTTCCCCAACTCAGGAACGCGATTTCTGCCGCTCCAGGTCCCCTTTCAGAGGGCTCCAGGGCTCCCCCTCACCTGTGGCCCCGGTAAGAGGCCTGGATGCGAATGGCCGCTTTCTGGACCTGGGGGTCGTTGATATCCAAGGTACATCCCGGAGGCGGGGCTGCAGCCGCCGGTTTTTTGGCGGGAGCTGCTTTGGACATCTGGGCAGCAGAAAACAAACACGGAGGTCTAGGCTGACACAGAGACTGCGACCTTCAGTCTTTGCCCTTCGGATTCAAAACATCCCCGGGATGGGAGGGTCTAGAGCTGGTCTGAGGATCGGGACTCACCGTGGGGGTGGGGGGCGTCGACTTCGAGATCTGAGTCAACTAGCTGGTTAGCAGGCGGCACGGAGCCCTTATGGATAGCACAGTAGGGGCGCGGGCAGGTGCTCAGCCCTGGGCCCTGGTTTTATACATCGCTCCCCTCCTTGCCTTGTTTGGCGTGGTTGCCCCAAGCCCCCCGGGACCCCAGCCCCCGCCCCCTGACCCAAGCAGGCTCCTTATTTAGCCCGAGGATGCCTAGGATGCTGGCTCAGTCGCTAGGACAGGCCTGGGGGTGGGGGTTGGGGAGGAAACTCGAGCGGCTCTGGGGTGCACCGCGCGTCAGAGCCTGGACAGCTGGACAGCTGGACGCGGACCCATCTCCTCCCAAAGCACGGGGTATCCATCCCACTCCGGGGAGGACCAGATGAGGCCCCAAGCCGACAGGAGATTCAACTCCCTGCCAGGGCAACTTGACACTCAGGTCAATCCCTGGACAATGGGACAACGTGCTCTTCCCGACACACCGTAGGTTAAGGGGTGCAAGTGTTTGTGGGGTTTCCCTGAATGAAGCCGGAATAGCGGCGGACTTAACTGTCCATCCAGCCAATTATAAGAGGACCACGTGGCTGTCAGGACCAATCCGGAAGCGCCTTACTCCCACCCTCACCCCAGAGTCTATGGTTGCCATTTCCGCACAGTGCCCCCTGGCGGTAAACTGATATAAACCTAGAGAGGACCGTAAAGATTTTTAAGAACAGCATCCCTTCGGGCCACCCTGATCTCCACTCACTGTCCTCCGTGTGACATGGTAGGGTCTGTCTGGGCTGCACTGTCCCTGGAGATTGGCACTAATACTGACTCAGCAACTTTAGGTCGGCCCAAGCCCATTACGGGGTAAAACTAATGTATAGGGGCATCAGAGCACCTGGGGTGAAGGGGTTAGTTTAGCTGCTCTGGGACATGTCTGGCCAGTTTGCCCAGGCCAGAGTTCCAGGTAAAACATTGCTTCCACTTACTGTAACTACCCACCCAGGTAGGGAGCACTGTCACCTTTTGATCAGAGCAATTTTGACACAGCTCTGCTGATATAAATTACCTTTGCTCCTCCAGGTTTGGAACAAGCAGTTCACATGCCATTTCCAATGGAGATGGGAAGGGAGCACAAGATCAGAAGGGGGACAGGAGAGGAATTTTACCATTTATCAAGATATGAGTTCAGGCACCTCATTTTTCTATGAAAACACTTGCAGTGAGTAGGGGATTACAGAATCTCACAGGCAAACTGTATATATTCATCGCTAAAATGACAGGTAAGCAAGGCATCTCTCTGGTCCCTTCCAGCTGCTTTAACTGTTATTTTATGATGAGGAGGATTGCCTCTTCCCAAAGGTCCTGAGAAGCCAGAGAGGCCGGGCTGAGCAGAACATTGGGCTCCAGCCAAAGGGCCCTCAACCTAGATCAGCAACACACCAGCGCCAGCTCTCTCTGCTCATGGTGGAGGCTTTATTCCTGTCACTTTGTTAAGAGCAGAGTTTTCAAGGAGTGAAGAGGGGAGAACAGTCCCTTTGGACCCAAGGAGAACTGGCTCCCCTCTCCCCCCACCTCGGGATAAGGCAGCTCAGTGAGTTCTAGAACCCAGTAATCATTCTGTGGCACTGCAGCTAGAGTCAAGATGCCTTCACACCCAGCAGACTCCCTAGCTTGCCGAGGGGATCAGAAGGTCCAGGCTGGGTGTCCCTGGAGCCTAGGAAAATGCACATCTGTGGCATCATCACAGCAGACACACCGAGCAGAGAACTCACAGCTGCCCTGTGCAGCTGGTGCCCTGATTGGTGCTCTAACACTGAAGGCTTGGGGTGTGGGCCTGTCCTGGTCTCCTGTGCAGCCATTCACACCACCTGCTCTCACAAGTCATCATGATAAAACCCCCTCTGCTCCGGGGGTCAGGATCAGAGCTGAGAAGTACTGGGGAAAGAAGGCTCAGCCAGGATTGTGGTGTGGGCCGGTCCATTTCAGAGCCTAGTATCTTCCAAGGTGTGATGATGGAACACGTGAGAAGAGGTGGGGGCCATGAGAGTCTGGTTAGAGGGTGGTGGTGGGGATTCAGTGGTCCTGCCAGGATTCCAGAAGCTTCAGAAGGAGAAGCAGTCTGAAGTCTCTCCTTCTTGGAATAAGGGAGAGGGAAGGGGCTAGGACGGTCAGGGAGGGAGGAGGAAGGTCCGAAGGTGCTAGCTGGTATACCTGGGCTTTCACTGGCCCAGAGAAGCATGAAATACTCCTGTCCCAGCACCCTTCACCCCCAGCCATCTCTCCCCATAGATCACACATAAGTCTTGCTGCTTGCTATTTTTATTTCCTTTGTGACAGACAGACAGACAGCTGCACAGACAGCTGGATGGCTGGGGGTTAGGGATGAATAGGACAACATGAGCCATTAGGATTGGATGGAAGGGAAACTTCATAAAAGTCAATAAATAAATAAATATGAATGGGAAGAAGGGCGAAGGCTACAGAGGGCCAGTGGGGATATCCTTGGGCCAGCACAGAGCCCAGAGCCACATCCACTGGGACAAAGGAGAGTGCTAGCCCGAGTGACCACTGCCTCCTGCCTCCAGCCCTCCACACTTCTTTGGGATGCTGGCAGCTGGCCCACCCCATGCCCACCTGAGTCCTCTCTCCTTCCCTTCCCCCACCTTGCTGCCCTCTCTCACATGCTGCCTCTGGCACCCTGACACTGACCCTTGTCCTGTCCCTGCTTCACTGACACTCATTTCCAGCCCATGGCCTTGATACCCTGGGCCCCTTCCTTTCTACCTCTCCAGCCACTCACACCCTCCTCGTTTGCTCCTCCCTAAGATGCACTGTCCCCCACCCCAGAACCTTCCTAGAGTCTTCCATCCCTTTCTTTCTCTTCCCCATTCTGCTCTTGCCCCTCTTCCTGCTCCGACTCCACCCAGCCCAGCCAATGAGTCTCTAGCTGTGGCTCTGGCCTGGTGGCATTGGCCCAAGCCTGGGGCCTCTGTCCCCACAGGTCCATGAGGTAATAGCCCGGCCGGATGTTGCTGCTGGTGGTGTCTGAAGCCCTGAGCCCACCCGGCTCAGCGTGGGCCCTGGAATGTCCCGCGGCATCAGCGGGAGCCCCGAGTGGAAGTCCGGGGCCAGGCTGTGGTCCGAGCCTCTAGGGGCTGCCTGGGTAGGAGCGGAGCAGCACCTTGTGCCGGGTGGCGGCCTCAGCCCTGCGACGCCGCTGCTCGCTCAGGAACTCCTTCAGGCGGTTGGTGGTGAAGGTGAGTGTCTGGCGGCGCAGCTTCATCAGGTAAGCGTCCTGTAGCCACGGGTGGGCCAGGCAGTCCTGCAGGGAGGGCCGGCTCCTGCCAGGCCCAGCCAGGGGTGGTGAGCCTGGAGGGAGGGCCTGGAGCAGGGTGGGGCTCTGTCCTCCCATATATCCAAGTCCCAATCCTGGATTCACCCCTAGTGAGTGGCTCCAGGCAACTCTGGGGTTCAGTTCCCCAACCTCTGGAATGGGGACAGTGATCCTGCTTGTCATAGGGCTGTTACAGGTTTTAAATGGTTGGTAGAACCACCATTCAGTAGTAGTAGCAGCAGCAGCAGTGTATTATTGAGGGTAGGGGAGGAGTTGGAAGATCTTAGGCAAGGGTTGGGCCAGGGCAGTCCGAGGCCAGGAACAGGTAGTGCTGTGGGGTTGGTAGGTGTGGGGCCCACTCACCAGGGATGTACTGAGAGGACCTTTCGCAAGAAGAGGGTGGCGCTTTGGGAGGTGTTGGGGTACAACTGGAAGGCATCAAAGCGACCCCCCACAATATGAGCCTCTGTTTCCTGTGGGTCTGGCTCATAGAATGGAGAGCGTCCACTGAGCCTGTGGTGGAGATAGTTCACATGACCCATGAATGGAGGTCAACTCACAGGTCCAAGGGGACGTTAGTATGGGGGTTGTAAGGGGCACAGCACTCAGGGACAGGGCTACTGGCACCTGGGCACACATGCATGTGCGTGCATGCATATGTGCTGGGGACGTGGGGGGAGGGTGGGCAGGAGGTGGGTCCTAGGGGCACTCACATGATGTAAGTGAGCACACCCACTCCCCAGATGTCTGTGGCAGAGCCGATGGGGTCTCCCTTCACCATCTCAGGAGCTGACAGGAGACAGAGGCCAAGTTGAACCAGTTTTCTGGTGGCAGGGAAGCAGGAAAGGCTGGGGAGGCCCCTGAAGGCTTGAAGAGCAGGACCATGTCCAGGTCTCCAGACCATGGGTCTGACCTGAGCAGCAGGCCCTGGATGACAGCAGGCAAGATGGAAGTGGGGGTGGCCTCCAGGGGTGATGTGGGGCACCTGAGACTGTGAACGGTGGGCGTCACCAGAACTGCAGAGTTGCTGAGAAGCAGGGTCACTGGCCCCCTCAGATCAGCTCCAGGGTTGGGTGCCCGTGCACAATGAATGTGGCCAACACAAAGATGAAGAGCCTTTGAAATCGACCTGGCTGGCTCCAGTCCCAGGCCTGCCCCTCCAGCTACGGGACACCGGGCAATGCACTAAACCTGCTGGCTCTCCATTTCCTCATTTGTAAAGTGTGGCTTCGGAATAACTCTTAAAGGATAGATATAATGAACATAAAGTATTTCACAGGTAGTTAAATGGTAGCTGGCTTTCCTTATGTATATAAATTAATAATTGGTTGTCCTGTGTTTCCAGCTTTATCAAATCCTGTCTCGACCATTTAAAACGGTCTTATATGGGATAAATAACCTCACTATGCTTCTGCTCCTTATCTGTAAAACGGGGGTAATGTTATGCCAATCTCCAGGGCTATTGTGAAGATAAATTTAAAAAAAAAAAAAATGGAAAGGGTTTTGCTCATTGCTTGCATACAGTAAGCACTCAATAAATGGCACATATAAAGTGGGGGGAGCTCTGGATGCTACCCCTTTGGCAGAACCTCAACCCCCTGCCCTGGCTGGCATGGTGACCTCACCCATGAACTCCAGCGTGCCCGTGCGGTGGCCAAGGGGCCGCAGGGCCTGGGGGTTGTAGGGCTGGGCACTGCCGAAGTCCACGATCTTGAGGGCGTTGTCGGGGGCCAGCAGCAGGTTGTCTGGCTTGATGTCCAGGTGCAGCACATGACGGCCATGGAGGTAGTCCAGGCCTTGCAGCAGCTGCACCACGTAGGTGGCCACGTCATCCTCTGAATATCGGAACCTGGAGGCCCAGGGGAGGTAGGTGATATGCCAGCCCAGCTCCTCCTACTCTCGCTCCTTGCTCCCCAAGAATGCCCAGCTACCTGTCGCTGAGCCCACAGAGGAGCTCCCGGTTGCCACAGCTCTCAGCGATGAGCACGAGGTAACGTGGGGTGATGTAGGCCTCGTGTAGGGACATGAGCCGCTCGTGGTGCAGTGTCCGCAGCACTTCGTACTCCTGCAGGACTCGCCGCTTGCCCTCAGCTGCGTAGGGCACGATCTTGGCCACAAATGTTCGTCCGGTGGCATTCTCCCGGCACGTGCGCACTACGCCAAAGCGGCCCCTATGTATTGAGGGGACATCACAGGTTTAGAGGAGAGAGGGGGATACCACCATTGTGAAGGCTAAGTGGGCTGGGGTTGGGGAGCAGGGACCCAAGTGTGGGCTCTGCAGTTTAATTTTAGAATTCTGGGTTCAAGTCGCAGTTCTGCTCGTCAGTGGCTCTGTACCTTAGGCAAATCCCATAAGCTCTCTAACCTCGGTTTTCCCATCTGCGAAATGGGTGATGATAACAATGCAGTGGCTTCCTCTCCAAGGGACAAAGATTAAATGAGATCATATGGCTACAGAGCTCAGCGCAGTGCGTGGCCCAGAGAAAATCTGAACTCAGAAGTGCTGATGACCCAGATCTCAGCATCTTCCCCACCGTGCGTGGGCAGTCTGCTCTTTCCTCTGAACCCGTGTCCTCTACACTGCACCCACGCCCACCTCGTCCTCTGTCCCTTCCCCGCCCTGCTTGCCTGGCCTTCTCCTCCAGGAAGGTGTAGGGTTTCTGAGGGGGGCCCTGTCGAAGACTGGTGCCCTCCGGCACCGGAGAGCTGTGGGGACCACTCCCGGGGGGGCTGACCATCTCCTTGGCTGAAGTGAGGGTCTGAACAGTTACCTTGGTGGACTCAGGAGGGGGCTCAGGGGCTGGGGGCTCAGGGGCTGGTGGTGCAGACACAAAGGAGGTCACCATATACAGGGGAGTAGAGGAAGATGCTGGTTTAACCTCTTGAGGAGTGGAGGCTGGAGTCGGGGTCCCAGTGTCAGGGACGGAAGACTTGGGCTCACTTGGGGCGACCTTGGCACTGGGTGGGGAGGGCTCTGCTTGCCGGGCAGCCTGCAGGCCTCTGTGCTTTCGTGGGGGGGTTTGGGGTGGTGGACCCACAGCCTTGAGTGAGGACAAGGCCTGGCTTGGGGGTGTTGGGGGAGATGAGGGGCTGAGAGCAGCTGACTGGGGGCCTGGGGAACCAGGAGCTGCAGGAGTGGTCAGGGAGGGGGCCAGTGAGGTAGGAGAGTCCGGAGGTGGGGCCCTGGCTGGCCCTGAGGTAACAGGGGTGTCTTGGTGAGCAGCAGGTGGCAGAGCTGAGGAATCTGAGTGAAGATAAGAAAAATCATCACCATGATGCCCTTGGCACCGAAACAATGGTGCTCTGAGAAGGGGTGGAGCCTGGGCTTAGGGTCCCCTTCCTTTTCTGGCCCATCCCCGCCCCATCCCACTGACCTTGCATACCCCTGACGAGGACCTTCTCAGAAGGGTTGCTGAAAGGCCCCTGTCCAGCACGGTTGGCACAGGCCACACGGAACCTCACGGTCACGCCGATTGGCAGGTGGGTCACATTGTAGTAACAGTCAAGGATGCCTGAGCTCACTGGGTGCCAGGAAGACTCCCCTGTAGGCACCATTGGAGAAGGGCTGAGGTCACAGGATGGGTGGCCCAAGCTCCCAGTGCTATCTGTAAGGAGCCTAGGGAGGGGACCTCAGACCAGGAAGGGGAACTCAGACCGGGGAGGGAACTCATCTTCCTGGCTTCTCCACCTTCCACCTGCCACCCCTTCCCCCAACCAGCCTGTGCAGTCCCTCACCGTCCACCCGCCGCTCCAGAGTATACGTGCAAGGTGCCCGGCTGTCTCCTGGCTTCCAGAGCACCAGCGCCGTGTCCTGGTATGTCTGGGGTACCTCAGGAGGGGCGAGCTTCCCTGGGACACCTAGCAAAAGGAGGGGAGCCCCAGTGAGCTTATATACTCCAGCTTAGAGCCCACCTAGCCCTGCCCCAACATCCTCCATTACCGCCCCCCCTTGGTCCCTGCCCCAGGCTCACGGGCCACAGCCACGGTACAGGAGCTGGTGACACTGCCTAGGACATTGGTGGCTGAGCACTCATAGAACCCAGCATGCCGCTTGCCCGCCCGAGGGATGCTCAGCATCTGCCGTCCATCTTTGCAGGACACAATGATCACTGAGGGTTCTGACCGCAGGGACTGCTTGTCTGGGGGCAGAGAGGAGCAGGAGGGACTGCTGAGTGGGGCAGCAGACATGGTCCTCCAGGACCCCTCGGTTGCCACTCCCCCCAAGCCTCCCCAGGCACTGGGCCGCTTGCCTAGGCACCTCTCTGGGGAGAAGTGATCTTACCTTTCGTCCAGGAGATGTGGGGTGCAGGGCAAGCTGCTGGCAGGCAGAGGAGGGTGGCTGCCTCTCCCTCCAGCAGCACCTGGTCCTTGAGTTTGATGTGGAAGACTGGGGGGAAGTCTGGAGGGAGAGCAGACAGCCATGGGTTGTGAGGACCCCGGCTCACTTAGGGCTGAGGGAGGGGAGGATGCATGTGAGAGGTGGGGAGCAGAGTGAAGCTTGTCTCTCCCAGTCAGATGTGAAAAGTGCAACCCCATGCCACACTTTTGCGAAGTTTTGGGGGGGTGAGCATCACTCTCCCCAGGCACTCACTGTGTGCAGAACTATCTTTCCCTTTCACTGACTATTGAAGATGCAAGGTAGTGACCTCATATGTTTGCAAATCACTTACAGCAGGGCCTGGCACTACCTTTAAGTGCTCTCTCTATATTCATTGAATAAAATAAAAACAAATAAATATTGAAAAACTGCAATGGTTAAGATCTGGCAATACTCCCTCCTTCTGGGGCAACACAGGGCAAGTGAGAGGAGTTGGTAACCTGAGCTGAGCATCTGGGGGTTCCATACAATGTTCAATCAAAATAAGCAGTCTCAAAAGATCTGAAGTCAAGGCAAAACAGTGGGCGGGGGCAGGGTCGGAAAGTGCGTCAGCCTCTACCACCTCGTCTGCCCTGGCGTTTGCAGATACAGTCCTGGACTTTCTAATACTCCTTTGGGTCAGCTGAGTGGTGAGAGCTCTCGAAGGGGCAATAGACAGTATGCGCATAACCTTGGACCAGGGCTTGTCTAAACTGACAAGACACCAAGAATAACACCAAGCTCATAGGGCTGTTGTGAGAATTACAAGGAGCACATAAAGTACTTAGCATGCATCTAAGATATAATAATAGCTGCTCGCAGCCCTGCAGGTGTGGCTCAGTTGGTCGAGCGCTGTTTCATGCACCAGGAGGTTGCCAGTTTGATTCGGGTTTCCAGCTCAATCCCCAGTAGGGGGTGTGCAGGAGGCAGCTGATTGATGTGTCTCTCTCATCGATGTTTCTATTTCTCTCTCCCTCTCCCTGCCTCTCTCTGAAATCAATAAATATATGTTTTGATACTACTACGACGACTAATAATCAGTGCTCATAAGTATTAGCTCTGACTATTGTTATGGTTATTAGCTCATGAATATGCTCAGTAGAGAGCCAGGCACAGACCCTCAGAGAAAGAGGCTGTTTCAGCAAAGCTGGCTTCACAGCTGACTGGTGAAGAGGCCCTGGCCAGGATGCAAAGGGGCCAAGGACGCTGCTCCAGTGCAGCCGGCCCGTGGCTACTTAGTGCCATGAGGACTTGCATTCCTGCTCCTTGGCATGTGTCTTCAGAAATATCCCAATCTGGTCCTGGCCACGGGGGGTGGAGTGGCGGGGGCGCAGAGAAAGCTGAGGAATGGATGCCCCGGGAGCCCCAGCTGCTGCCTGTCTAAAGAACCAGGAGGGAGCGGAGGTGAGGAGAGCTGGGCAGGACAGGAATGCTCACAGGAGTGGATGGTCAGAACAGCTGCCTGCCGGCCCTTCCCACTGCGCCCATTTCCCCAGGGAGGGGTCCCACACTGAGGCTCCATTAACACAGTGAATATAGTTTCCTCAGACCAAGTGCTGGGTAGTAGGGAGAGAGGGGGAGGCCAGGAGGAGAGGTGAAAGGTGACCCTGGCCCAGCCTTGCCAGTTCTACCTCCATTTCCCCAGGGGTTAGCCCTAGCTGGTCAAGTGGACATGGACAACCTTCTGCAGGGAGGGGGGAGAGGATGAGGTAAGGAGACACTGCCTCAGCAGGAAATCAGCTGCACAAGCAAAATGGACCTGGGAGGGAGGCCCCAGGTGGGAAGGGATCAGCTGTCCCCAGGCCTCTGTGCTGGCTTCTCTCTCTCTGTCTCTTTCCCTCTCCTTCTCCACCCCTGCCCCCACCAGATGGCCTCCCTCCCTCCTCTTCACTCACTATAGCCCCTCAATGCCTACTGCCTTGAGAAGGATGCCCCAGCTCCCCTGGCCACGGCCAGATGCAATCACCTCAAGCCCAGCTGAGGCACAGCTAGAACAGTTCGGAGTTTTATCGAGAAACGGGAAGAACAGAGCTGGCAACTGCTGAAGATCCTGCACGCCGCTGGCTGGGTGGGCCTGCTCCTTTCTGCATGCTGCCTGGGAAACCTGGCCTCCCGAGCCTTTGCGTACAGTCCTTGAGTAGTGCCCCCTTTTCAGGTGAGGGACGAGGTGACCCCAGGTAGGAAATACCTGCCTCCCTGCAGCCCAGGACACTTGGGAAAAGAAACAGACCAGGGCATCCCCTATGTTTTCCTCTCCCCAGCAAAGAGCCCCGAAGGTGCTGAAACTGCTGGAGACCCTGCAGGGGCAGGAGGGACGCGGGAGGGGCAGTCAGGTGTTAAGGGCTGCAGAGAAATGGAGCACTGGGGCAGAGCCTAGGCTGTGGGCCGTCAGGCTGGGAAAGAACTAGTCTTTGTGTGCACATTCAAGCATACATTGGGGGCTGCGGGGCAGGAGAGCCCTGCCCTGCCCTGCTGCAGAACTACACAGTTACAGGGACCTTCGAGGGTGAAGATCCTACTAGGGTGAAGGCTAGCCAAAGAAAAGCATTCGTATGGTGTCCCAGAGCCACTTCTGGGGTCTGGCTGCACAGGGTCATACAGTCCAACTCTCTGGCTGCTGCATTTACTACCAACTCTGTGCCTTCCACAAGCTGTTTAACATGGCTGAGCCTCTGTTTCCTCACCTGCAAAATATGGACATGATACAAATAATAGTTCCTCAACAATGTGGGAGAGTTGAATGAGGCAGCCCTCGTAAAGTGCTTAATAGGATGCTTGACATTGTTAATTAATGACAACTGCTGCTGTTATTATTATTGTTGTCCTGATCAGGTCCCTTTCATTACTGCCTGGGCTCCTCAAATTTGTTCCACCTCTCACCCAGCTGGGCCTGTCCTATGGGCAGGATGGCCTACTCACCCAGCAGGCCGATCTTACCCGATTCGCTACGCACATACTGGTGACCCAATTCCTCTTGGACACTGGCAGAGAGGTTTGGCTGTGATGACCCCTTGTCCTTCCTCAGTCGAGAGAGGCCCCAGCGCAGCCGCCTCCGGCTTTCCCCAGGAGCTGTGAAGACCCAGGCACCTGAACCTGCCCAGCCAGGGCCAGACAGCTCCCACCTCCATGCAGCCCTCAGCCCAGAGGTCGAGAACACCCCCAGCCCTGGCCTGCTCCCAAACCAGCCTCTGCCCCTCAGCCTCCTGCCGCTCCACCATGCCAGTTCCATCCTCAGGACCTCCAGCACGTCCTCAGCTTTCTGCTGGGTGTCTCCTCCCTCTTCTCCTTCCAGAGCCTCTCTCCCGAGAGCCCCCCCTTCCGTGCTCTGCACCTGTCATCCCAGCCCTGCACCCCCAACCCACCTCCCTGCACCTTGCCCCTCCTCACCTGAGCCACCCGATGTGCCGCTGGCCTCAGAGCCCAGGGACTCCTCCGAAGGCGTGGTGGCGCCGGCCTGGGCCGCCAGCTGGTTTTGTGGGAGGCCCAAGCGCCGCAGACTCTCGCCCTCGGAGGTGGCCCTGCGTAGCCGTCCGAACAGCGGTGTGCTTCTGCCCGACGTGCCCCCCGAGTCCTCGCTGCTGCCACTGCGCTGCAACCGACTGGACAGCCGCTCCAGCGTGGAGCTAAGCCGCCTGCGCACCGCGAGCACCGGGGAGCCGCGCGCCGAGCTGCCGCCCTCCGAGCTCTCCCCTTCCCCGCCTCGGGCCTCCGCGGCCTGGTGGCGCTGCGCAGGCGGGGTCCGCCGCAGCCGCTGGGACAGCGACAGCGAGAGGCGGCGGACGAGGCCTGGCTCCCCGACCGCCCTGAGGTCCTGCACGGAGCGGGAGCGCTCAGGCCGTCGCACCATCTCCAGCGGCGTTCCCGCCGGGCTGGGCCGGTACATGCCGTCCTCCTCCTGGGCCCCGCGGAAGGGGCCGCGCTCCTCCGAGCGCGAGCGGCTCAGCATCCGCAGCCCCCGCGATAGGGGCGACTCACGGCTGCGCTTGAACTTGGCCTCGAACACAGCCTCGGACTCCAGGTTCTCGATGCTGCTGCTGAGACTGCTACCCGGCCTGCGGGGCACCGTGGGGACCCGGGCTTTCTCCGCTGGCACCGGGGGAGCCGTGGCTGAAGGCACCGGCTTGTTAGAAGCTCCCAGAGGTGGGGAGGCCACCCTGGCAAACACAGCAGGGTGGGACTTGGGCTCCGCTGGAGGTGTGGCAGGGCCCTTCGGAGAGCCTGGCGTGTGGCTGGCCAGCTGCAGCGACTGAATGATGTGGGCATAGGGTGTGGGGGCGGGGGCTGGGGTTTGCAGAGCCACAGGCAGCTGTGTAGGCTTGGTGGCTGGGACTGGTTCTTTCTTGAACTCTGGGGCCTTCTCTTTGGCAGGCTGGGATGCCAAGGGTTCAGGAGCATCACTGGGTTTCGGGGTGGCAGGAGATTCTGAAGGCTTGGGGGCACTGGGTTTGAGGGCACTGGGTTTCGGGGCACTGGGCCGTACAGGGCTGGGTGGCTGAGTCTCACTGAGGGCAGACAAGGAGGGAGACTCCTGTAGTCTGCGGGCCCCAAGGCGGGCCACAGGGATCTCAAGGGGCGCCCCAGCACGGCGGTGCCGGCCCCGGGGCTCCGCCTCACCCTGTGAGAAGCTACTGCTCTTCTGCAGGCCCCGAGTCTCTGGTGGAGGCTGGTGGCGGGGTGCTGCCTCACTGGAGGCAGCCCGTGCCAGCCGGGGGTCCCGGGCACGGCTCCCCAGGCTCTCTAGCAGGGGACCCCTGAGGCCGCTGACCTTGCCATCCTCAGGGCCTCCCCGCAGCAGCCGCTGGCGCAGGGCCTGCAGCCTCTGGGCATACTCACCCTCACCCAGGCCTCCCCGGGTCAGGCGGGTGGCCCCCGGGCTGGGGCTCCGGCGCTGTGGCAGCTCCACAGAGGCAGCCTTGTGCAAGCCCCGGCCCGGCTCCCTCGGCCCGGCCTGGGGCAGGGCGCTCTCAGCCGAGCTGCCCCTCCGGAGCTCTCCCCGACGGGGGCTGGGCCCCTTGGGGGGCTCCTGGCCTGGGGAGGGGAGGGTCGGAGGACTGGGGGCCTGCTGATCCTGAATGGCGGCACTTCCCTGCTCCTGCCACTCCATGGGGGTGGCAGCCCCAGCCTCTGGGGTCCCCAGGGCCTCGTCTTCAGTGGGAATGTCGGTGAGGGACACTCGGGAGCCTGAGAACTCGGGCTGCAGTGGTCGGGGCACTGAGGGCAGCTCCTCCAGCTCCTCCTCTTCAGAGTCAGAGGAGGACGAGAGCCCCCCACTGGGTGGTTGTCTTCTGGGCACAGCTACCCACACCCGCTCCGGGGGTGCCCGCAGCAGCTCAGGGATGGGGCGCAGTACCAGGTGGCACTTGTAGCTGATCTGGGAGCGCTGAAGACAGAGTCCTAGAGTCAGACCTGAGGGACCCCTGGGCTGGATTGACCGACCCCCTCAGGCCCCCCACAGCCCTGGGGAGAAGGCCTAAGGCAGACAGAGAGGGGCAGGGGCAGGAGGGAAACTGGGAGCTGAGAGAACCACAAGTGAAGATGAAGAAAGGTGAGCAGGTGGTGAGTGACGTGACAGAAACAAGGCAGGGTTAGAGAGAGAACGAGAAGGTGGAGGCTCAGACGCAGGACCCAGCCAAACATACCTGCCACCTCCGCCGGGAGAGGAAGAGCTTTAGATGGTCCGTGCTCACCTCTGCGCCCTTTGCCTGTGTCTGCAAACCCAGAAAAGAGGGACTTAGGTAAAGTCCTCTCTCAACCTAGACCCTCCAGGTTTGGCAATGGAGAGACAAAGTCCACAGGAGGGGATAGAGGACCAAGCAGCATCAAGTCCGGGGTCCTGAGGGTCCCTTTCCCCTTGGATCTGTCACAACTCCCACAGCCAAGGTGTCCATGTGCAGACAAATTCCCTGAACCTAAGGAGAGAGGCCAAAAATCGGTGGCTCCTGGGATGGGCTTCAGAGCTTACACCAGGGCTCACGGCCCTGCCCTGGTACAGTGGCTGCCCTGGGAGGCCTGTGCCTAGGCCTTGGCCTTGGCCCTACTGCCCAGTTAACCACCTGTCTCCATGTGGAGCTAGCGCCCCAGATATCTGGAGCCTCGGGGGGCCAGACCAAGGCAGAGGCCCCCGTCAGCCACCCACCCTGGCTGTCCTCTTTGGAGCTCGTTTCTGGTCTGGGAGACAAGGCTCGTTGTCCAAGGATACCAGAATTACCTCAGTCTTCGGTTGACCAAGCACAATTCTCAATGGGTGATTTATTCAGTTGCTTTTTCTAGGTCATTTGCTGAACCTCACCCCCCACTTGGCGCTGTGCCCTGCAGTGCTGGGGTTTAAAGATGAATGAGAACTCTGCCCACACAGAGCTCAAAACTGAGAGGCTAGGCCACAGAGCAACCTCAGTGAGTGGGCCAGTGCAGGACACAGGTGGACACACAGGAGTGAAGAGGACCAGGCGGGCCTCAAGAGCCAGGAAGAACCCTGATGGGGACCCCCAGCGTGGGAAGTCCAGATCTGTGCCTCGGAACCCATGATACCCCAACTCAAGCCTCTGTTTCCTCTTCGACAAAATGGGAATTAAACCTTCCTTTACAGAGCTATCTGAGGCTGACAGATCATAAGTATATAAAATGCCTATCATAGAAACTGCATGCAGTAGGTACTCAATCAACGAAACTGCTAACGTCTCTCGCCCTCCACCTCTCCTACCATGACTTTGCAGAACTAGACTTACTTTGAACCAAGGATGTTCTAGGGTCTCCTCTGCGGTAGGCCTCCTGTAAAAGAACAAGGATTAAGAAGGGATTCATCATTCATTATTCAGTCAGTCAGTAAATGTTTGGGAAATGGGGCCTCTAAGGACTTGGGGGATTGGATGTCGAAAGGCAGAGGTATGGCAGCGGTAGGGTTGGCAGAAGGGGACTCTGCAGGTTGGGGGCTCCTCGGGGCCTCATACTCACAGCCGGTCCTGCACCAGAACCTTGATGAGGAAGCCCCGGGCCTCTCTGCTCAGGCTCAGGAACGTGTTCTCCTCAAAGGCCACATTGTAGTTTCGGATGTTCATTAATGTCGTCCGATCATTTTCCCCAACAAACGGAGAGATTCCCGTCAGACTGCAGGGGTGGAGAGGGCTGAGTGAGAGACGGGCAGGGCCCTGGGGCTCAGCAACAGATGGCAGGATGCCAGTGGGGACATAGGGCCGGGGAGAGGTGGATGCCTCGGGGCTGTGGGGCAGACAGAGGCTGGGTGAATCTGGACAGTCTTTCTGACCCCTCCCTGTCCTGCTCCCTCCACCACCCTGGGCAGGCAGGGAGGCAGTACTGCCTGAGACCTGGGCAACCAGATCCTGCCCTGGGTCCATGCTTTAGAGGACCTGTCTGTCCCTCCTCCAGCCGTGGCCTGTCCTTGAGGTGAGGGGATATGCCTGTGCTCGGGGGATATGCCTCCCTGAGCCTGAGCCTGAGCCTACTCCTTCCAGGCCCTGCCGGACAGCCAGGCCCCGTAGTTCCTACCTAAATGGCACTGAGCCTGCACTGGCCTCTCTCCATCCAGCCTGGATGCCCGCCCCTTGGAGAGGGGCGCAATGGTGGAAGGGCTAGACACAGGATAGGCGTCCACATTGGTGCATGTGAGGCCCTTGCTGTGCAGAAGGAGCAGGGGTGTGCAAGAGATGGGGTGGGCTACACACCCCCAACTGCTCTCTAGCCCCAGGCCCTGCAAATGTTGGGGCTGCTGCTAAGAGACCGCTGGAGACCGGGGGCCTGAGGGCAGAGAGGTCCTTACCAGAGGAAGGCAACGACGCCCACGGGCCTGTGGGGAAAGGAGAGTGCATTGGTGAGAGGACGGCTTACCTCCCACCGGCAGTGAGCACTTCTCAGCTACTGAGAGTCTAGTGACCGCAGGGATGCCTCCTCCAGGGAAGACTCTGAACTCAAAGGGCCAGGCATCCCCGAAGGAGCCACGGGTCATGGCAGGGCCAGCCCAGGAAACCATGAGAAGTCTGGGAACCAAGGGACTGTGCCAGCCTCACTGGGGGCAGGCGAGATGGCTATAGAGGGGGTGGCCAAACACCCAGGGGAGACAAGGAAACAAGGACCGACCAGCCTGAGGCTTTGAGTGCCTGGGTCACCCCTGCTTGATGAGGGATAAGTAGTAACATGGGCAAGGGACCCATGAGTGATGCCCCCAATCCACTGTCAGGAGGGAATCTGGGCTTAGTAAAGCTACTCTCTGCCAATGAGCAACTCCCCGGCCCTGAGGGCAGCTGCCCTGGCCCCCCCCCCCGGCAGCTCAGGGTGCCGGCATTACCAGATGTCAGTGACCCCAGACACAGGGGTCTGGTCGACGATCTCAGGCGCCACGAACTCGGGTGTGCCGTACTGGCAGAACTGGGGCTCTCCCGGGGTCAGCTCCTGGGCATTCCCAAAGTCACAGATCCTCACCTGCGCTTCGCCCTCTGCACCGCCCCACACCAGCAGGTTCTCAGGCTGCAGGACACAAGGCAAGGCGTGGGAGCTGAGCCAGGGGAGGACACCCCGCGGCCTGGCTCCCACGGGGGCTGCCCGCTCCCACCCCACCTGCACCTCACCTTGATATCCAGGTGCAGCACATGGTTCCGGTGCAGGTAGCATATTCCCTCCAGCACCTGCAGCATGTAGGCCCGGATCTGTGGAAACAGGTGACCCAAAGCCCGTGGGGGAAGGGTGGGTATTATGTTGGATCACCACCAGGGCAGTGGCAAGAGGTCAGACCGTGCCTGTTCAGTGGCGTTCGGATGGCTGATGGAGGGGACTGAAACAGGTTTGGGTTGCTGAGATCCAGGGCCTCTGTGTACAGCTACACAGGTCAGGCACCCCACAAGTATAGAAGGGTGTCATTTACATCCTATAAATGGAGCTGTGCAGTGCACAACTGGACAGCCCTCCACGGCAGGAGCAGTCAGACGAGTCCAGGCGGCGCTCCGGCTGGGAGCAATGCTTGAGGAACGTCTCATGAGGAAGCCGGAAATACTCACCACCCCTGGCCTAGTCAAGCCCAGGACCCACCCCTCAGTTCTCAGAGTTCAGGTGGGTGAATGCTGGTGCCCAACCTGACCCCTGCCACCCGCTGCCCTCACCTCAGACTCACACACGGTGGGTTTCCTGGCCATTCGCTCCAGCAGCTCCTCTGTGCAACTACGTCCCGGATCAAGGAGAACAGTGACCAGTCCCACCCGCCCAGCCACCCCTGGCAGTGCCCCCCCCCCCCCCCCGAGCTCAAGTCAGATCACAGCCCGGCACAGGGTTCTCCTTTCCCTTAGAGCACATCTGATGCCAGTTAGCACCTGCCATCTGGGTGCACAGACGGGACAACCCTGCCTGTACTCTCACTTGCTGTGGGGTCTCAGGCAAGTCACCTAACCTCTGAGCCTAGATTCCCTCAGGAGTAAAATGGAGATAACATCATCTCTTGCCCAACACGTGAGGTATTTATAGGAATCAAGTTAGAGCAGAATTTTGTTGACTGTAAAAGGAACTTCTTGACTCTATTCAAGAATGACCTAGAAGGTCCGTGACATAATAATCGGCCTTTCTGCTGAGGTTGGCCTTCTAACAGTGCAGACTAGGAGACTTGTGTGAAGGACACGGTCACCCTGACAGTGAGAGCAACAAGCCAACCACCCAGCAGCCTTACCACGGTGTGCCTTTGTCTAACAATAGCTCTCGTGCAAAGCTAAAGTCCATTTATGGGAACAGCCTCCTAATACTGACGCTCATCTGAAATGGGGTCACTTCAAATGCGCAGATATAATGTACTGCACTTCGTGATAAAAATCGCATGCCTTTTGCTAGCTGTGTGACTTCTGGTGAGATACTTAACCTCTCTGTACCTCGGTTTCATCATCTGTAAAATGGGGATGTTAAAATTCCATGAGATAGGTAGGTATACATGAGGATTAAACAGATAAAACTCTTAGACTATCGCCAGGCACATATGAAGTACTATGTAAGTTTAAGCTAAAAAGGGGGGGGGGGGCAGAAAATGTTGGTGTTTGCAGAAGTCTCCAGACTCCACTCTGTATTTTTAAGATGCCTTCAGAACTGCCAATTGTCAATGGGCACATTTTGTAAAGGCAGTCAGCCCCTCCCAACTATCAATAGGATCACTTTGTTAAGTGTGAAACATGTTACTAATTGGCTGTTGAAAGGACCAATCATTCAGGGCAGGTATCCCCCAGACATCCAGCCTGTCCCAGGATACAGCTCGGTGACAATGACCAGTCCCCGACGCCTCTCGAAGGCCTCATGGAAGTAGAGGACGCAGTCATGCTGGAGTCGGGCCAGCAGCCGGGCCTCCCGCCACGCTGATGCCTTTGGCTTGGCCTGACTGGGGATGAACTTGGCTGCAAACTCTAGGCCAGAGTTACGCTCCACCACGCGCCGCAGGTAGGAGAAGGCACCCCTGGGTGATAACAGAGGGAGAGGATGGGATTCAGGCATTGCTGCAACCGTGACTCTCCACAGACCCAGCCTTTCTTGGCCCCTAGACACCACGACCCGTCCTCGCCCACACCTGCCGATCTCCTGGTGGATGTCATAGAAGTCGCTGAGTCTCCTTCCTCGCTGCTCCTCGTCTTCCCCAGCCCCTTCCACCTCCATAGCTGTCTGAGCTGAGGAAGAAGTGCCTGGTGTTAGACGGGAAGGGCAAGGGTGGAATGAGCGCAGAGACTGAGACAGGCAGGGCAGATGGAGGAAACAGAGAGGAGCAGGAACACAGGAAGCCTGGAGTGGGGTGCCGGGGCTGGAAGATGTGGGAGCCAAGGAGTGCAGGGCCGGATGAGTGACTCCTGGCCAGAGGCTCACATCGGATTCCCGGGGGTGAGACTCTGCCCTTCTCCACCTAGCTCCAGCCCACCTGAACGCACGGCCAGCTCTGCTTTGCAGAAGACCTCTCCGGCCAGGTTCCGGGCAGTGCAGGTGTAGACGCCTCCATCTTGGGCTCCCGTGCTGAGCACCACCAGGGAGCACTCATTCTCCTCGTAAACGAAGCTCACGTGGCTGCTCTCAGTCAGCAGCACTTCATCCTACAGAGTCGGCGGTCACCTCCAGCCTGGGGCTGGCTCACCTCCACTCGGGACCCCACTTTACCTCCATGCCACAGACCCAGCCTTACCCCGTCTCAGGGCCAGGAACCCCTCCTCCCCAGGGGCTCGCGGCCCCCTACCAAGACCCAGATCAGCTCTGCCCTTGTCTCTCACTAAGAGTCCTGTATGCCCCAGTTAGTCCCCTGGTTCCTCAAACCCCACCAGCATCACCCAGCACCCCCGGGCCCCACTTCCTTCTAACCGCAGGTCTGGCAGCGCCTGTGCTCTTCTCCGTCTCAGCTCCCCTCCTCCCGAGGCGGCCTGGACCGCTCCCACACTCCCAGCAAGTCCCTCCTCCTCCCTCCCAGGCTCCTGGCCAGCCCCCCCTCCGCGAGGACTCCCCCGAGGCCTCTGTCACCCTCTGACCTTGTACCACATGATGTCCGGCAGCGGTTTGCCCTCAACCACCACAGCGAAGCGTGCGGTTTCCCCAGCCCCCACCTCCACATCCTCCATGATGGACTCAAACCGAGGGGCCTCTGGAACATAGTGGTGAAGGGAGGGGGACAGAATATTGAGGTCACATGGGCCTGCCTCCTCAGCTCCTCTCCAGGCCCTTCCTCAGCAACTGGCTCACCAGGCCCACCCTCCTGGCGGCCCAGAGCCCAGCACCTCACCCACTGGGCTCTCAAGCTCAGTCCCTGGAGCACCAGAGTTGCTGGCCTGGACCAGGTGCTGTCCCTGTGAATCCATGCGTGATGTTCTCCAAATCTCAGAAAACCTGAGCCAGAGGTGCAGGCTGGCTTTGTCTGACCCTCAGTGTTCATCTGCCAGCTTGGAAATTAGGAGGTTTTCACACACAAAAGAAATCTGGATCTCCTGCCTGTCTTGGGCCGGCCATCCCAGGCCTCTTCCCTCACTGCATTCACTGATGGGCTGGCATGGACTGGCTCGACGCTGCCCCCTGTGGGTGGTTGCCCTTCTTCACAGCCCCACTGAGAGCTGCTTGGACTTGACGGTCTCTAGCCCTGAAGGCTGCTCAGCCTTTGACCCTGAAGTAAGTTTACAAGACACTGCCTCTGGCTTGAAGTTTTCTCTCTGAATCTTATTTAAATACTTAAGGGGCCTTCTACCATCTTGGAGTTAGCAAGATGAACAAACTGGTACCAAATCTCAGCTTGGTTCTCCCACATTGACTATGATTTTATTCTCTACACATATGCAACCATATTATTCCTTATAAAGTGGCTTCTAATTCTCATGCTGGAATTAAATACATATTCCAATGTGCTTTGAAGAGGAGCCTGTGACTCCCTGGTGCCCCTTGCTGAGCGTGGCTGAGGATCTGGGCTTTAAGGAGAGTGGGAGTGGCCAGGCCCTGAGGGACCGGGGCAGGGCCACCACCATCACAGGCACACTGCTCGGTCTCATGCAGATAAACGGGGCAGGGACCCTGGGGGTGGGGAAGGTGCCACAGTGAGGCAGATATGGAAGAGAGCAGCCATTTCAGCTGCCCTGCCTAGGGATGGGGCGGGCACAGAGAGGGTGCAGATCCAAGCCCAGGGCCTGTTCTAGCCCTGGTCGGCTGGAACACAGTCTCCCTGTCACTGTCCCGGCCTGGCCAGGCTGCAGGGCTCGGGGTGGCCAGGGCCTCTTTCTATATCTGGAAAGAAAAATGTCCTGCAGATATTACTGTCAAAGAGCAAAGTGGTGGTTGAGTAGAAAGACGGGATGGGGTGGAGGGAAACTGAACAAGGGAAAGAGGGTAAAAGGGAGACCACAGGCCCGGATGATCTGTGACCTCACCCCATCCACCATCCACAGGGGGCCAGCAGGGCTTCCCCATTTTCTCCTCACACCCTCCTGCCACTTTTCTCCCACTTTAAAGATGCTCTCCCTCCCCTCTGGAATCTAGTTTCTAGTGTTGGGGGGAGTGGGGGTGGGAGGGTGGGCTCTATGAAGGTCAAAGGACAGTGTTTCAACTGAACCTGAACAATTTTTTAGAAGCACCAGAAAATGCATATTTACCTATGATAAGCTTGCCTGTGCTGACTAAAATGTCACTTTCTTTGCAATTGGTTGGAATTGTATCTACTCAGCAGGTAACACTGTTCAGCTGGCGCTAGTGCAAAGTTCTGAGTGACAGTTACATATGTCTAGAGTTAATTAACAAACGAGAAAACAAGGCAATTACTACTTTATGCATGCTAGGGGTTAAGAGGCTACATCTTTGATGGAGAAATTACAAAAAGGGTCCTCACTGCACAGGCTGGGAGGCTCCGCCCAACAGGTGGAGCAAAGGGCAGCCAGGACCCCCCCCCCCCCCCCAAGCCGAGAGTCTCATTATGAGATGCGCTCCCTTGGGCTTTTTTCTTTTTTAAATCAACTTGGTCTCCCTATGCTTGTTACACTTGACAGATTATTTCCTGCGTGTTTAACACAGGATCTAGGAGCACTCTCTGGCTTTGGAGTTGGGTATCAGATCTTGAATCCCAGCTCCTGTATTAATTTGCTAGGTGTGTGACCTTGGGCCTGTTACTTAGCACGCCCTCTGAGCTTCGGTTTCCCTATCTGTAAAACAGGGATAATAACCAACCCCCATCTCACAGGGTTGATATAAACATTAAATGAAGCAATACATGTAAGATATTTAGCACTGAGCCTGACACATACTAGGTACTCAATAAATGTCTTATTAGTGCTATTACTATTCGCAGTAGTAGTACTGGTATTATTATGGCCATTAGATGGACAGGCCTGAGAGGGAAGACCCCGGACTGGCAAGTGGGTGTGTGCACCTGGGTGTGGGAGGAGAGGGCTGTGGGCCCCAGAGGCAGGACAGGGCAGGGGATCTGCTGTCACCTACCTGCCAGTTCCAGCGTGACCGAGCAGGCCTGTGTGCCATGGCGGTTGCGGGCAGTGCAGGTGAGGGGCCCCATGTCCCGGCGGCTAACCCGGCAGATCCGAAGACGGTACTGGTCGTCATCTGGCTGGCTCAACTCGTACACACCTGCCCGCGCCTCTAGAAGGGCCCCTCGGCAGCTAAGGGACACATGACAGAGAGGTCACCTAGGATCCAGCCCCAGGGAGGTCAGGCCAGGATGGTCAAAACGGGACTGCCACTCGTGCGAATGGGGCACACAAGGTGGGGCCCCCACCTCCTCCAGACGACCTGGGCTTCCACATGGTTGAAGGTGACGGTGACACTGGCAGGCTGTCCCTCCACCACATACACGATGTCTGGCTTGTCCAGCACAGCAGGTGCCTCCTCCAGGGGCGGGCCTGGGAGGACGAGAGCACAGGCTCTATGCTGGGCTTGGCACGGGATCCTCAGTAAGTTCTGCTCCTTTAACCCTCCCCCTACCTGTGAGCCCCTGTTACAGAGAAAGAAGCTGAGCTTCAGAGAGGGTTAGCGATCTGTCCAGGGAACACAGTCAGAGCAGCAGAACTGGGACCGCACTCCCAGCTTGTCTGACTCCAGGGCCTCAGCCTCGCCTACTGTGAGTGCTGCTTTCAGGGGTGAGAAGGAAGCACTTTGACAGTGAAGGGTGCACCCAGCCACACTGTTCCTGCCACAGCTCTGAGGTCTGGATCAGCCCTTGAGCCTCCACCGTGGGGACCCAGTTCCTGGCCCCACAGCATCCACCCCCCGTCATAAGCACACCCAGACTCACCTCGCTCCAGCAGCTGCACAGGCTCAGAAGGGGGTGACGGTTTGCTGCTGCTCTTGATGGTGGCACTGAGGACCCGGAAAATGTGCTTGACCCCCTTACGCAGCCCTGTGGCTGACCACCCAGGCTCCCGCAGGCCCGTGGCCAGCGCCGTCCACTGGTCTGAGCCCAGCACCTGGTGCTGCACAGTGTAGGTCAAGGCATCCGGGTCTGGTGGGGAGGCAACTGTTAGAGGTGGGCATTGCTGGGGTGTCCCCATCCTGCCCTCATTCAGCTCCTCCGAACCCAGAAACTCATTAGTCTGCTCTGAGGACCTGTCTGTTTCTCTTGTTGCTTCTACCTGCTCCCCATCTGCTCCTGCCCAACCACTGGCCTAGCCAGGCTCAGAGCCAACAGAGTGCCAGGCATGGGGTCCAGTTACAGGCATGGAGGAAGCCTGACTTGTAACCCAACTCCTAGTTACTATCTGAGGTGGGGAGACTGAGGCACAGAGCTGGAAGAGGTCACGGACAGGGAAGAAGCATAGAGTCTATTTCCTGGAGCACGACCTCAGCATTTAATCCCTCTGAGAAAGAGACAGGAATGTGGTGGCCCGCTTGTCCCCTTTCTGACCAGAGTCAGGGCTTCATCCATCACGAAGAAGAGGGAGTCAAGGCTGTTCCTGGACACACCCCCAGTGCTCCGTTCACTCCCCACCCCGCACGCTTCCCTGGGCCTTGCCCTCCCCCCTGGCTCCCTTGGCACCCCTGCCTGAGCCCACCTGTCCATCCCCCATCCCCTGTGTGGCCCTGACCCACCGATGGCCATATCCAGACTCCTGGGGGGGTTCCATGTGAGTGTGATCATCTTCCCAGTCACAGCCACCACCTGTGGGGCACCATCTGGGGGGCCTGGAACCACATCTGAAAGCCACAGGTCAAGTATCCACTGGATCCTTTAGGTCTCAGTGGCTCCACAGGATCACCAGGCCTCAGGGTAGCAGGCTAGGAGCCGGGGTCACAACCACAGGGGCAGGGCAAGGCCAGATGGCTCCCCGGGGGATTGAAGGAAGGGAACTGGTGTAAAAGCCCCTGCTTCACCCAGCCCCCGGGATAGGCCAGAGGCCGGGCTGTGCATGCAGCTGGCTGGGAAGGTGCCTGCCTCACCTGTGACATAGAGGTGGGCATAGCAAGCTGCTTTGCCCAGCTTGTTGGCGATGACGCTCTTGTAGACACCGGCGTGCTGAGGTCCCACAGCAGGGAACACCAATCGATGGACATCCCTGTCTGGGGGGACAGTGACACTGGGCCTGAGCCAGAAGGACATTTTGAGGGGTGTGCCCATGCTACCCCAAGCCTGGCCCTTCACCCCCACAACTCAGGGAGGAGGTGAGGGGCAAAGGATAGGCAGACAAGCAAGAAGAGTGTCCACCATGCGGCAAACCCGAAGTCCAGACTGCCCAGTCTACACCTGCAGCCCTGGCCCTCTTGCCTGTCCCTCCGCTCTTCAGGCCGCCACTTCTCACCTTCCTCACACCATCCACCCACTGTTGACTGTCCCTCTTCTTTGCACCTCTGGGGGGCTCACACTTTGTCCAAGTTCTGACAAGGCTTTGTTCCCAAGGCCCCTCTCACAGCCACTGGTGGGCCCATTGCCAGCGCAGACCCCATGACAGCCCTCCCAGTGCGGTCCACACTCCGCCAGCGTGGTCCACACTCCGCCGGCACACACCCTGCCTAAGCCCTCCCAGTGCGGTCCACACTCCACTGGCGCGGTCCACACTCCACCGGCACACACCCTGCGAAAGCCCTCCCAGTGCGGTCCACACTCTGCCAGCGCGGTCCACACTCCACCGGCACACACCCCACGAAAGCCCTCCCAGTGCAGTCCACACTCCGCCAGCGCGGTCCACACTCCACCGGCACACACCGTGTGAAAGCCCTCCCAGTGCAGTCCACACTCCGCCAGTGCGGTCCACACTCCACCAGCACACACCCTGCGAAAGCCCTCCTAGTGCGGTCCACACTCCGCCAGCGCGGTCCACACTCCACCAGCACACACCGCGTGAAAGCCCTCCCAGTGCGGTCCACACTCCGCCAGCGCGGTCCACACTCCACCGGCACACACCGCGTGAAAGCCCTCCCAGTGCGGTCCACACTCCGCCAGCGCGGTCCACACTCCACCGGCACACACCGCGTGAAAGCCCTCCCAGTGCGGTCCACACTCCACCAGCACACACCGCGTGAAAGCCCTCCCAGTGCAGTCCACACTCCGCCAGCGCGGTCCACACTCCACCGGCACACACCGCGTGAAAGCCCTCCCAGTGCGGTCCACACTCCACCAGCACACACCCTGCGAAAGCCCTCCCAGTGCGGTCCACACTCCACCAGCGCAGGCCCTGTGAAAGCCCTCCCAGTGCGGTCCACACTCCACCAGCACACACCCTGTGAAAGCCCTCCCAGTGCGGTCCACACTCCACCAGCGCAGGCCCCGTGAAAGCCCTCCGCCAGCGCCGGCTACACTCCACCGGCAGCACTGCATGTTGCAGCTCAACCTGGAAACCTTAAAGGCACCTGCTGCGTCTGGACAGAGCCAAAGCACTCAGTCTAAACTCCCATCGGTACACACCTCCGGCTGGTCCTCCACTGTCTGATCCTGACAAGCCAGCAGGTCCCTAAACAAGCCACAGGCCTTTGCTCACAAAATTCCTCCCTTCTAGAACATTCTTCTCTTACTAAGGCTTCCTTCTTCTTAAAGACACAGTTCAAGTAAGTGCCAGTTTGGGAAGCCTCTTGTGCCATGCACCCCTACCCTTGATCCCCCCACTCCCACCCCGGGACCTCCAGCAGAACCCACTGCCTTGCACACAGTAGGTGCCAAATAGATGTATTATATTATAAATAAGAGTCGTCTGCTATGTCAGCTACTTGACATGCATTTCCCCCCCATAATCCTTTCAACAGCCCTGCAAAATTATCCTCGTTTTGCCAATGAGGTCAGAGACATTAATGGACTTGTCCAAGGTCACATAGCTAATAAATGATGGAGCAGTGGCTTGAACTTCATTCCCTCTGAATTCGAAGCTCTCTCCCTACACCATGCTCCCTAAATGATAAGGGAGCTATCTCCAGTGTGGACAGGAAGGGGAAGAGGCCTACACTATCCTCCTTCATATAAGGGCTGTCCCCAAATACCCCTCCCTTCTCTTAGTGGTTATCTCCCATGGAACAGTCACCCACTCATTTATCTCTACTGAGACTATTTATAAAGGAAGAGAAACCAAGGGCTGCCACTGACCCCAGATACAGACAGAGGAGATGCCAGCTCAGATCCTGAGTCAGACTCCCACCCAGGGCCTCAAGCAGGCAGAGAGATAGGAAGCCTGTGGGCTGAGCAGACAGCTGCTGTGGCTGGGGGCTGAGGCGAAGGATCAGAGCCACCGTGGTGGCACTGCAGATGGGGCATGGGCGACTGGGCATCCTGGTTAGGACGTGGGAGCCAGAGTCAGATGGTCCTTGACTGCCTTTGAGCAAGTCCTTGTCCTCTGTAAGCCTCAGTTTCCCCATCTGTAAACAGGAATAATAGTACCTGCCTCACAGAACCTTGGTAAGGAAGGTGAGATCATCCATGTCAGGCCTTTCGCACTCAGAGCCTGGCACACATGAAGTGCTTAATAAAGGTGAGTTCTATCCCACTGCAGCTGTAAGAGGAGGCCACCACGGGCACAGGTGGCACTGTCTGGTGGGGGCGGGTAGGCATTCCCACAGGAGACTCAGACTCCTTCCAGGATGGAACTGAGATACTCCCACGAGAAATTCCCCAGGCGGAGAGCACATGGTCCCAAACACATTCCTCGGTTTTCCTTCAGTTCCTTCTTTATTTGCTGTTCATTAGTAACCTTGGCCAAGCATCCTTTCAGTGCCAGACACTGCCCACCTGGGCCTGTTCACTGAAATTTCTCTGCTTTACTGACGGGAATGACACTGGTGGCAGAAACAGCAGCAGCAATCAGCCATCATCATAAGACTGAGCACGTACTGACCACTTGCTACGTGCCAGGCCTTGCTAAGTGCTTTACGTGTACTCAATGATTAGATGAGGAAACTGAGGCACAGAGGGGTTCTGCGACCTGCCACGGTCAGAGCAGGCTGTACTGCCTGTCTAGTAAGATCTACAGGAGCAACCGAGGCCCAGAATAGTGACTCAGCAGATGGGTGCTATGTGGGTCAAGGAAGGAGGTGACCTCATAGCCTTTCTGGGCTCCCCTCCGCCAGAGGCCCCATCCCTGACTAGGCTAGAAAAGGAAGGCCTGGGGGTGAGCAGAGGGCAGGGCATTGCAAGTAAAGAGAGTGCTGTATGGGACACCCCCAGGGTCCCTTCCCAGACACGTACACTGCATCATGCGCCGGTCATCACTGCTCTGGATACGATGGCCATTGTGGAACCAGCTGATGGTGGGGTAGGGCAGGCCAGTCACCTGGCACTCCAGCATGGCCTCCTTGGCCAGTCCCACCTCCAGGTCCTGCAGGGGCCGCAGGAAGTCGGGCATGGACAGCCGCTCCAGTTCGCCGTGCTCTGGCTCCTCGGGGATGGATGGCATCTTCTCCAGCTTCGAGCTGTAAAAACCACACAGCTGCCCAGAGTCGCAGGGCTTTGCCTCCTACCACAGGCAGGATGGGGCCCCACAGCAGTCCCAGCAGCACCGAACCCCAGGCAGTACCTGGGGCCAGTGGCAGCCGTCCGAGGCTCCTCCACATAGAGCTGGGCAGAGCAGTGGGCCTGGCCGTGGCTGTTGGTGGCACTGACCGCGTAGAGCCCCTCATCTTCACTGCCCACGTGGGCAATGTGCAGGGAGTGCAGACCCCCGTCCTGCCGCAGGCGCAAGTTCTCACTCTCCTCCACAGGGTGGCCTGGGGGAAGGGAGGCAGGAATACCCGCAAATCAGAGAGGGGTCCTGCTCTCTGGCCCTTGGGGGTCCCCCAACATCTGCAGGTGGAAGGCCATACCAAAATGAGTCCAGGTCACGGAGGGGGGAGGGGTGCCACTGATCTTGCAGTCGAAGCGGGCCGTGCGGCCTTCCAGCACCTCCAAATCCTCCAGCAGCCTCGTGAACAGGGGTGCCAGTGAGGGCCGCACAGTCAACCGTGCGCTGCAGGTCAGCTCATCTAGGGAGAGGGGTCAGCACTGGAGCAAGAAAGGCCACGGAACCCCAGGCACCCCAGGCTACAGGTCCTGTCCTCATGCCGGGCAGGAAAGGGGAGCTGGGCCAGGAGCTGGAGCCTGGACAGGGCCCCGCAAGGTCCCTGGGCACTGAAGTGAGGCAATGGACAAGATCCAAAGACCGGCCTTCTCAGGAGTGTAGAGGCCGGCAAAGGCGGCAGCAGGCTGCCCTGATGGCTAGGGACATGATGGGTGTCCAGGGCCCTGGCCCGCTCTCCTGTCTTCAGCTCACCTGGCCTACCCAGGACGATGCTCAGCTCAGCAATAAAAGAGGGGTTCTAGAAGCCAAGCCCCTTTCCCCCCTGACAAAGCTGACCTTTCCCCCTCCCCCTGGAATTCTCCTCTGTGCCTGGGTTCTACCCATACTTCCTCCCACTCACCGCAGACACAGAGCACATGCCCCTTTGCCCCACTCCACTGCCCCACAGACAATCTTCTGGGGGAAGCAACAGCACCTACTGCTGGCCTGGTCCTTCCCTGCCTAGAAAGTCCCTCCAGTGTCACCTTAGGTGCTCGTTACCACCACCTGGTGAGGCATTGTCTCCACTGTTCAAACGAGGACGAGGACGGAGACCAGGTCAGAGATGTCATTAATAATAATAATGGCTGACATTTATTAGGTGGCACCCTTCGCCAAGTGCTGTGCTTTGTTCTTTACATTCATTATCTCATTAATTCTACCGATCCCCAGCTAGGCATTATCATGATCCCTTTTTTACAGATGAACAGTCTAAGCTCAGAGAGATAGAGTGACTTGTCCACAGTCACGTGCCTGGTATGCGACAGGGCAAGAATTGGAACCCACGTCCAGGTCTGTCTGCCACACGTCCGCAGACAGGTTCCTAACGGGAACAACAGCTAACACTGGCACAGAGGGTCTTTTGTGCCAGGTGCTGCTGCAAGTGCTGGTTTCACTGAGGCAGGGGGACTGCACCATCTCCCAGCCACCGCTCTTCCCCCAGGAGACGGAGCCCATCTTATTCTTCACCTAGCTCCTTCGCCTCTTGTCCCCTCCCTCCAGCTCTTGGGCACCCAAGGCAGCCCTGGGGTCCAGGTGGGCAGTTACCTTTGGCTGTACTGAGCTTGCAGGTGTAGACGCCACTGTCGTCCTCATGCACAGAGGTGAGTAGCAGCTTGCATTTCCGACCATCAAAATGCATCTTGCATTTCAGCAGTGCAGGCTGCAGCAGGCGGCCGCGGCACAGCCAGTCCACCTCCACGTCGGCAGGACCCGCCACCAGGCACTCAAACAGCGCCATTTCCCCGGCCCCCACGTCCACATCTTGCAGGGGGGCCAGCACGGCCAGGGACCGGCTCTCAGGGTGTGCTGGGGGAAGCAGCCAAGGGGGGCACACATGGAGCAGAGACACACAGGCGAGGGAGACACACACACGCACACACAGAGACAGACAGACACAGAGAGAGAGATGCATTTTGTTCTTTGGAGACAAAGGGAAAGCCCACCCACCTGGCTAGCCAGGACAGCGAGGAAGTCTCAGGCCTGGCTTTAGGATGGCAACCCCAGGTGGGCCAGGGAGGGGGACTCAGGGGAAGTGGAAGGAATCAAGGATGAGGAAACTGAGGGCCATGTAAGGGCAGAGATGGCGGCGGAAAAAAAAAAAAAAATACACAGCACACCAGCTGGGTACAAACCGGACTTTATTTGAACTAAGAAACAGGTATTTCTGAATATCTCCATACCCTCTCCAGTAGGCCCCTACTCCTGTGTCAGGTCTGGCTAACTCCCTCAGTCCCAGACGGAGCCTCCCGGGCTCTGACAGTGAAAGAGGGAGCCCCAAATGGGCCCTACACCTGCCCACAGCCAGGACTCAGCCAGGCCTCCTCATCAGCGCAGGACCCGGGGGCCTCTGACTTTTGGTCTCTCGTGAAATAGTGTTGTACCATTTGAAACCCGTTTCTGGAATGATCAGTGCTCTGCCCCCACTTCATGAGCCCCTTGTCAGCAGCCCCCTGCCCCTCTGGGCCCCTCCATCTTGCAGATGCTATGCCCTCTCTCTTCCCCTCTGTTTTACCCCAAGCCAGCTTGGAGGCATCCTTCCCTGACTGTCACAGACACACAGACAGACAGACAGGTAGACAGACAGGGCCTGTAGCAGCGGTAGCACATGCGCTCGCTGGGTGCTCCCCTGAGGGGAGAGACTGGCAGGGGTCTTGATACCCTTCATGGCCACCCTTTCCTGGCACTCAGTCCATGTGGGGGCTCCCAGCCTACCCAGCCATATGTCCACTTGGGGAGGAAGGGGTCCACAGGGGCCCATGGCTATCCCGGGATGCTGCGTGGGGAAGGGAGGGGAGGGAGGTGGAACAGGGTCCAGGCCGGCAGGCCGGCAGGGTCTGTGGGCAGGAGGCAGTGAAACACAGCGAGGTCCGAGAGGTGCCTGAGACAGGGGCGCGGCTCGGAGGGTAGCGGGGGGAGCGCAGGCGGCCCCCTGAGCTCACTCGCCTGTGTACAGACAAAAACCTCAGTCAGCAAGCGGCAGGTTAGTGCAGTACACACACGCATACACAGGCACGCACACAGCCTGGCTAGGCCCCCCAGCACAACAGCCGCCTCTCTGACTGCCAGGCAGCACTGCCGCGGTCAGCTCCCCCGGGGCGGGCAGCCAGCCAGAGGCCGCGTCTCTGGGCTTCCTGAGCAGGTAGAGGCCCTGGGAAACCAGGGGAGAGGCATTCAGAGGTATCAGGAGCACCCCAAAACCTGAGGGATGTTGGGAGGAATCCAAGAGAGAGAAGCACCGAAATGTGGGTTAACTCAGAAAAGCAGGGCAGACCTGAAGGGAAAGGAACGGGCCAGGGAATGGGACCAGGTTGCGGGATGGGGCTGGGGGGTGGATATGGAAGAATTTGGAGACTGAGGAGGAGGCAACCCCAGGAACAGGAAGCACAGGGCCTCGTAACTGAGGCAGGCAGGACCCAGAGGAGGCAACCACGACTGTTAGGGTCTGGGCTCCAGTTGGGGTGTGGGGCCTCCTGGAAGCTCTCAGAACTGGCCTCTGCCAGGAAGGGAGGGGCGATGTGGAGCTGAGGAGGGGCTCCCAGCCTGAACTGCCCACAGGGAAAAGGGAGGTGAAAGGTGGGGCAAATGTCCAGTCCTGGGGGAGAAAAGTACCAGCGCCAAGGGCAGCCTGACCAGGGCCTGCCACGCCCCCCCCCCCCCTGCCTGAAAGGCCCCCGCCCTTATGCCCAACTCTGGGACCCAGCCCTGTCCACATTTCACAGCTCTGCTCACCCCGGCACCCGGGGGGTCCCTGCCATGCTCCATGTCCAAGTCACCCAAGGGCTCCTCCGAACGGGTCCAACTATCAGACATTCCCCCACTGCCACCCCCAACCACAAGAGATTCTGCACAGCAATGAGATGAGTACAGGAAAGAGGCGGGTGGGTGTGAGGGAGGGGCCTGGGCAGGGCAAGGTGACAGGGGCTTGGAAGAGCACAGGGAGAGGGTGGCGGGTGGCAGGAAGCAAGGTCTCTGACTGCATCAGGGGTTGGCATGACGGCACGGGGAAGGCAGCACTGCGTGGTAAGCTGCGCTCTCAGCAACTTGCCAGGTGGTCTGGGCAAGTCACTTCCCTTCTCTGGACCTCAGCTGACTCAACTACAATACAAGTAGCTAAACTTGGGGCTCTCTAGGCCCTTTCAGCTCTGGCATTCCAGAACTGAGGTTGTGGAAAGTAGGCAACTGGGCAGGAAGAAGGCAGGGGCCAGGCTGGGGGGGTCCACGGAGTGTGTACTCACCTCGGACCTCCAGGCGCGCCTCACACTGCCGAGCGCCATACTCATTAACCGCTTTGCAGGTGTAGAAGCCAGCGTCACCCCGCTCGGCGGCCAGGATCCGCAGCCGGCACAGCCCGCCCTCTGCCTCCTCTGCGAAGCGCCGCTGGTCTGGGCGCACGGGCTGGCGGTTTCTCAGCCTGTCGGAGCGGCAAGAACTCAGTGGCGGGCCCGGGGTCCTCACGTGCACATGCAGGGAGGTGGGGGTGCAGAGCCGAACAGTTCTCTCCTCCCTGCACATCACCTGTCCCTTGCTGGACCTGCCCCGCTGGCCCCGGGCACCCCTTGGTTGCAGTTTGGTTTTCCGCCTGACTCTGCCATCCCACCTCCACTAGGAACTTCCAGACCACGTCTGCCCACCTGGGTCTCTCCTTTCTAGGAACCGAACTGGACTTAGAGTGGTGCCCTGCTCTTCAGCTCTCAACAGCTCTTACGTTTCCTCATGTCTTATTTTTTTTTATTTATAATGAACAGACAGCTTTCCCATTTCCCAAAAGGGACATGAAACAACTTACGACATTAAGAAATCACACTGGGACGAGACAATCAATTAAAAATGATAAGCAGAACCCAAACCAATTAAAGAAACCCTAGCGAACTAGTCAAAGCTCCAGGGCCTGGGATGTAGCATGGCGGACGAGGCCCACGTTTAACTCTGGGCTCTGGCAGCTCAAAAACAAATGGTCCCACCTGGGCCTAGCACAGGCCTGGGCACAGAGTAGGCTGCAAAAATCACCCTGTTGTCAACGGACTCGGGTGGAGTGGGCAGCCTTCTTCAGGAGCAAGACGGCTGCGGGCTGTTCTTCCCAAGTGAAGACAGGAGACCATTTACTCCCCACATCCCTCTCGGGGGAGGAAGCACTGAATAGGCCGGGAACCCAGGTGGGGGCAGGGGCAGGTTGGGCGAGTGGCACCCTGTACCTGGGATGTGGCCCCTCTGAAGATCATGGGGAAGTTCACAAAGGGCCCACCCCCCTCTACCCAGAGCCAGGTCTCACAGGGCCAAGCCTAGAGTCGGGGGGCATGCAGGTGCTGGTTAGCGGCTGCTACTCACCAGGAGACCACCGGCTTGGGCTCCCCCTGCACACGGATGCTCATGGTGACATCTTGACCCTCTCTTACTGACTGGTCCATAAGGGAGACCTGAAGAAAACCCCAAAGTGTCAGGGCCCAGCTTCGGCTTCTGGGGGGGTGGGGATCTGGGACAGAGGCCTCTTGGAGCGCAGTCTGACTGAGGCTGGCTCTGGGTTAGTGGGGTTGAGCTCCAGGCAGTGCTGGAACCTGGTGTAGCCCCAAGAACAAGAGGTCACATGGAGGAAGAGAAGTACCCAGGGGGCTGAGGCTGGGTTCAGGGGTCTGACCTTGAAGGTGGGGGGCGCCTTGGAGCCAGCGTCTGAGGAGCGGCGGTTCTGGCTGGGACTGAGTTTCATGGTGGGGGTTTGGGGCCAGGTCTCCCCAGGCTCGGGGAACTCCTCTGGCGGGCTCAGGTACTCCTCATCAGAGGTGATGGGGCTGCTGAAAGGGGATGTGGACCCACCTGGAGGAGAGATGTGAGAGACAGTGGCAGACAGAGAGGAAGGGGGGTAGAGAGATTGAGAGCTAGATGGGTCAATTTAGGGATCAAGAACCTGATAAGGTCTGGAATGGCAAAGCCCCGGAGGTGAGGCGGTTCCTGCAGGCTGGCCCAGCCCTGGCTGCTTTTCCCCAAGCGCACTGCTGTGTGACCGTGCTAGGTATTTCCTGTCCCTGAGTCCCTGAATCCTGCTCTGCCACAGACTCTCCCAACACTGACCCTGCTGATCCTCCTAAGTGGGGGAACCATAGGCAATGGCCTGGGCCAGGGATTCAGGCAGCAGAGGGGTGGCTCCTGGCCCTTGTGGGAGACTTGGAACTCCACTGGAGCCCGGAACCCCCATTCCTGGCACAGAATCGCAGGCTCCTGATACAGGTGGTTCACGTCTCTGGAACCCAGAGTGGCACAGCTAGGACACCCGTTTCTTGGGTGAGCTGGGCCTGGTGCAAAGGAACACACACCTCAGACAAGCCCCATCCTGACCTCAGTGCCAGGGCCAATGAGGTGGCACTGTCCAGCCCGCCCTTCCCCCTCTCCCTTCTCAGCTTCCTGCCCCAGATACCCCAGGGGCACCTGTTGGCCCCAGCCCTAAAGCATGGACCCCAAGACTCTCAGGGGATGGGAAAGCAGAGTTTGAGTCATCCACAGAGAAAAGTGGCTCAGCCTGGGGAAGAGGAGGGGGCACCAGCATGTCTTTGGGGGAGGGGTGTCCCCAGGGCCCTGACGCCCTCCCCTGCAACTGGCCAGGAGCCGAGCCTCACTGAGCTGGCTCCTAGCCGACTGCCAAATACAGACATGAATCTGCCACAGCCCCCTGGCCCCTCCTCCTAGTTCCCCCACCCCAAGCCCTTGTGGCCCAGCCCCCCACAGGGCTGCACCCCAACTCACCTCGAGACTCTGCACACGGACCCCAGCCTGCGCCTGTCCAGAAGGCTCTGCCCTGGCACCAGGCCCTTCTGCTGCCTGCCCACCCCGCCAGGCTCCCCAGAGAGCAAGAGCCCAGCCTGCCCAGCCCCACTCACTCGCTGACCCTGCTGAGGCTCTGCACGAGGTCCTGGGGGAGGGGAAGGAGAAGGTGGGGGCTGGCCTGGTGGGGACAGGCTGGGTGGCAGGCAGGCAGCTGGCTGGGGAGGTGGTGCCTGCTGAGACCACAGCAGCCGGCCTGGAGTGGAGGGGGAGGAGAGGGGAGGGGCAGAGAGCAGCCTGGCTGTATTTAGCCACCCTGCTCATTCCCAAGCAGCAGGATCTGCCTTTTCTCTCCTTACAGCTCCTGGTCCCTGACAAGCATGAAGCCCCCTCGGTGGCACCTCGATTCAAAGTGCCAGGGCCTGGTCTCCAGGGAAGATGGGGATGGCACTGCCCTGCAGCATCCAAGATACTCACCCTGGCCCATTCATTTCGACGGGTCCACCAGCGGAGGTACTGAAGGCAAATAGCCCCTAGGATGCCCCTTGCTCTTACCAACCCACCAGATCCCCAACAAGCCTCAGATACGACAGAGCAAGGCCACATCCTGTTTTCTCCGGTGCAGAGAATCAGAACTGTCGGGACCTTCAGCCTCCTTCCCAGAGAAGCCCCCTCAACCTGACTGGGCCCAGAGCCCCATCTCTGTCTCCCCTCCTGCCATGGCAGGTTTGGCCCAATAGCCACCACAGGACACTGGGCCTGCGCCCAAACTCTTCCTACAGGCCCTACCAGTTGGCAGTTGGCACTCACCCCATCAGCCCCACCAGGGCCAACAGTGAGAAGGCAGGGGCTGCTTCCCCCAGTAGCCCCTCACAACTAGCAGCCCTCGTATTTGGGTTGGGGAAGGGGCTTGGAGACAGCAGAAGAGTAAGGGAGCTGTTGAGAGGTCACATGTCCTTCTCCCTCCTCCTACCACCCCTGCCCAGGGCCACATTCCCAAGCTATGACCTGTGTTTCCCATCATTGCCAGTGAAGAAGGGGGGGCTGGTCGAGGAGGGGGGGCTCACCATTCAGGCTGACTGTCTTGAAGTGGGGGTGGGGCAGGAAGTCAGAATGGCCCCTTGGTGAGCATCTGCTCGGGGCTTGCCATTAGCTGATGCTGAGATCACAGGCATGGCCCCTGGAGGCAGGCGCCCCTCCCCTCTGTGGATCCTGGTGACCTCTTGAGTCACCTCCAGGTTGGACAGCGCTGAGGCCACTCAGGGCTCAGGGAGGTAGAGATTAAAACAGATGGGTCAAGTTTGCAGGGATCTTCAGAGACCCCTGGTGGTGGCCAGGGGAACAGCCAGGGGGCATCCAGTGACCAAGCTAACCAGAGTCCTTCAAGCCCCTCAGAGAGGAGGCTGTCAGAGCAGCCTAGGCAGGAAGCTCAGGCTAAAGAGGGGGCAGAATTAGGTCTCTCTGAAACAAGGCCATGACCTCCACCCTCTGTACTCCCAAAACTGCGTGGCCAAGGAGGCTGATCAGGAATCTCTGTCTCCAGGTCCCAGGCTCTGGTACCACCACCCCACTTTTTATTGGCCCACCACCAAAGTCATCTTTGTAGCCAGTTCCTACATCCCAGCCCTGATCCACCCACAAGGCCAGCTCTCACTGTGGGAAACAGGTACACCAGCCAGGGAGTGGGGAGCAGGTGCCCCCCCCATAACTAACATGCACATATGCCCACCATGTAGGTGCTGCCCCTACATTCCCACCACTGCAAAACACACCGACTCTGTGCACGTGTCTGGCCTTTCAACACTGCTCCCAGGCCAAATCACGATCAAAGTACTGGCACTGGAGAGCCCACAAGTTGGCGAGCCCTCCCTCCCCAGACTGATGCATCCAGCTCAATACCAGTCCCAACATCCCCTGAGGTGTTCTCACAATAGAAACAGTCACAGCCACCTACATGAAAGGTGTCACATAAGGCCCTCTACCCTCAGGACTTCTCAGAATGGTCCTTGAACTACCCACATCAGGACCACCTGGGAGCCTGTTTAAACTATAAATTCCTGGGCCTCACTCTGACCTGAAAAATTAGATTTCTTGAAACAGAGGTCAGGAAACTGCATGTTCAAAAGCACCTAGTTGATTCTTATGCACATAAAAGTTTAGGGACCTATATGATCCCCATGTAAAGAGAAAGTTAACCCTAAGAGGTGGTATCACTGAGTCCCACCTCTGCCATCAAACTTCAGGGCGGGGCTCTGAACCTCAGATGTCTGACTCTACAGCCCATGTGTTCCCACTATACCACCTGGCCTCTCCTGCACAAGGTCCCTACCTCTACAGTGGTTTTCAAATTTACCATTCATCAGAATCACCCTTAAGACACAGATTGCTGGGACCTGCGAGTCTCTGATTCACTAGATCAGGGCTGGGGCTGATAGTGTGCATCTCGAACACCTTCCCAAGGTGATGCTGATCCTCCTGGTCTGGAGACAACACTGAGGACCACTGCTCTATGGTCTCCTCTGTCTCCTAACTTCCACTCTTAGGCCGATCCTCATTACATTTGCAGTATGTGTCTCAGCCAGCCTCTGCGTGTCACCCAGGTGGTTCCAGGGGCTTGGAGAGTCATGAGGATCTCTACCCCCCACTGCCGCTGACTGTCCAGGAAAGCCTCCAGGTATGGCTGCAAGGGCTAAGAGTAGCCGAAGCACAGCCATAACCTCAGGAGCCCTCTGGCTGACAGGGATGACAAGCCAGATGCACACACGACTGTAAGAGCAAACAGGAATAGGGTGGCAAGAGAGGAGCAGAGTGAAGAGAGTAGGACAATACTTTTGGCTCAGGGAAGAAGGGGGAACTGAGGGAAGGGGTGGTATTAGAATTAAGAGTTTAGTTTAAGCAGAAAAAAGCAATCCTGGAAGAGGAAACCACATAAGCAAATGTTCAGAGGCAGAAAGCTTGTGCACAGAACTGTAGCGCAACCCCTCTGGCTACAGAACTAGGTAAAGAAGAAAGAAATGGGAAGTGACCATGTTGGAGTAGGTCCCGCCCACTGCCTCAGCTGCCTCCAGCCACCCTCAGATCATCTTCAGGTCCAGATGGTGGAGGCCAGCTTCCGTAGTGTGGCCTTCACTCTGGGGGCTAAGGGAGTTCCTTGAGGTCTCTGAGGAAGGGAGTATGTGCTGGAGGCTCACAACCTTCTATGTGACCTGGCCACTCACAGCCGGCTGTCCACCCACAGCCTCAGTGGGTCCCTCCAGATGCGATCTGTTTAAATACCTGCTATGGTAATCCCATCGGGGAAGTGAGGGAAAAGGAGAAGAGTTATGCTGAGAATGTTTCAGTTTGGTTTTAAAAATGGACAAGGAAGCAGAGAGTGTTTCACATGGTCAGCCTGACCTAGTCACAGAAGTGGTTCATTCCTTACAAATGATTATTTACCATTGCTCCATGTTGGATAAGCGTTGGCACCCACAGTAAATTAGGTCCCCATTCTTCCGATGGGCTGTGTGATGACCCCCATTCCGAGGTAGCAGCCCTGCGGGGACACCTGTTGGGGCAGACCTGCTTCTGGTGGACAGAAGTGGGGAAGGAGGGCTGAGTCTGGTCAAGAGACCACACTGCGTTTTTAGATGCTGCCCAAACCCCACCAAAGATTGACAACGGGGCGTGTGGCATTCCAAGATCTCCTCCACAGGCAGCCACTGACTTCACAAATAAGAATCTGCCCGGGCCAGGAGCAGAAGGGGGCAGACAGGAGTGCTATCATTTCCCTCCTTTCCTTTACATTCATGATCTCCCAAAACCACCTTTTTCTGCTGTGATAGTGTCATCGTACAGATGGGACTAGATGAGCTTTGATCAGCCATATCCTCTGGCCCAAGGGTCCTTGGCTAAATCTTCAGCCCTGCAGAGCCTCACAAATCTTCCTGAGAAAGGAGCCCAGGAGCCTATCCTTGCTGTCCAGATGAGGACATGATGGCCAGCTAAAGTAAAGTGAAGAGACCACGGTCTCTGCTGGAAAATGCTAGAACCCTGGGCTTAAATATATGAGACCCGTGCTTGAGGGGAGGACTAAAGGCAGCAGGATGGAGGCCCCAGGCACATGGAGCCCCTTCCTCCTGACCAGAGCACTTGGTGGGGGTGAATCAGTGGTGTGCACACCGGGGTCATACAGAGAAAAAAGCAGGACCACAGTCACGGTGGAGGTGATAGTCAAAAGAGGAAGAAGAGAAAACTCTGAAGGCATTGACAGTCTCTGCCCCCACCCCATGAGTGCAATTCTACCTGAACCCTGAACCTCTTGAGTAGAGAAAAAGGGACAGTACGGTGCAGTGGTTAGGAGTACAGACTTGGGAGACCCAGAGGCGGGGCTTAAATCACCACCCAGCTTCCCACTGTCCCTGTGCTCCTACAGCTGAGCAAATAGGGTAACCACTAGCCACTGAGACTATTTAAATGTACATTAATTAAAATGAAATGAAACGTTCAGCAATTCAGTCACATTAGCCCTATTTCAAGTGTTTAATAGCCACATGTGGCTAGGGGCTACAATACTGGACCGTGCACATATATAACATTTCTACCATCACAGAAAGGTCTAGTGGTCAGTGCTGCTCTACAGCAATTAGCTAAAGTTTCCCAAGTCTCAGTTTCCTCATCTGTAACATGGCATAAGAACAGAACCTACCTTACAGGGTGGATTAGATGTGAGAACCCAATCAGCACAGGGCCTGGTACATACAAAGTGCTCAGGAGATGCTGACTAGTCCTGTTCTGTTCACCTGCCATCACACTACCTGTATTTGCTTCACAGGTGAGTATTTCAATGCCCTGCTGCTTAATCCCAAAGCAGGTTATAGATGCTAAGAAAAGGTGCTGGCCTTGCGCCACCTCTGTGTCACTTTACTCTGCGTGTTTTATCTTCCCATCGGTAAATTGGGAATGTTGCCACCTGTCAGGTCCCTCCAAGGCATACAGAGCTGACCCTGAACAGCATTGGTTTTAACATGGTCCCTTACACACGGATTTTTTTCCCAGCTGTTCTGAGTAGTTCAAACCAGAGTTGTCCAAGGGTCACCTGGCGGTTGGGAATCTGCCTACGTGGAGGGCTGACTAAGTTACATGCAGGTTTTCGATGGCTATGGCGGTGGGTGCCCCTGATCCCCGCATTGTTCAAGGGTCCGCTGTACATGGTGCGATGTAGTTCAAGTAAGGGAAGAGATGTGAAAAGGTCTGGGAGAAAGTACATGGCACTCTCCAAACACATAAAACTGTTTGGAGAGAGGTAGCACTTGGCTCCCAGTTGGTTCCCAATAAGTGCCTGCGTGATGGATGCGGGCAGCTGCGAAATGCTTAGCTTCCCATCTCACACCCTCCAGCCCCCTGCCCAATACACACACACCCTTTGGGAGCCCAACTGTGGTCTCAGCAGTTATTCAGTGGGGTGGGGCAGACTGGAAGGGGTCCAGGTCTGGGTGGGGCTCCAGAGCTGGTGAGGACACACCGTGCCTCCCGAACCACAGCACCAAGGGAACTACATTCTCTAGTTCTTAGTGGTTCCCAACCGGGAATTGGAATCTGTGGCCCTCAAAAGCTGGTCTTGTTGGGGTGGCACCTTTCCTGGTTACCAAAGGGATTGGCGAGGAGCAAGAAAAGGAGGTGGCTCCATAAGGCCTCTTCCCAAAAGACACCAGACACTCCCTCCCTCAACTCACTCCTACCCCACCCGCAGCCCCACTGCCTAACGCCCTTCCTTAGCCCCACCCCCTCACTCCCTATAAACTCCAGGCCTGGGACCCCAAGCTTTGCCAAATGTCTGTGCCACCTACTGGTTCCACCCACTCTTGCTGCTCTCCCAGTCTCCTGGCCTCTGTCCAGCTGCTCGGACCAAACAGAGCCTTGTAGGGTAAGAAAGTCTGCTTCCTCCACAAGAGCTGAGTGTGGACACACGCGCCTGCCCCCCAAGCCTGGCGTCCTGGAGCCATTCTGACTTTCTGGAGCTGTTCTCTGGGTACAAATCCTGGCTTCCCAGGGTGGAGGAGACACAGAGATGCTATGACAGGCTGGGAAATATGGGGGGCTGGGGGCTGGGGGCTGCGGGCCTGGCAAGGGCAGGGAGAAGACCCCAAGGCATAAACAGTACGAGGGGAGGAAAGACGAGGCAAGAGCTTCCCGAAGCCTCCAGGAAACCTGAGCTCTTGTGCACAACAGCACCATTTAATAATGCTAACAACCAACATTTGTCTATAGCTTTACAGTTCATAAAGCTCGTTCACACATTTGCTTTCTTTCCTGCGAATCGTATAATTATCTCTGGTTTACAAATGAGGGAACTCGAATGCAGGGATGTTCAGCAAGCAAAGACAAGACAAGTGCAGACAGCTGCCTTGCCCCAAGCCTCCTTCCCAACCATAAAAGGCTCCCAAATGGCCCCGAGCCAGTATTGGGGCACCCCCCCACACACACTCCTTGCCAAATGTTAGTCCAAGCCAGGTATTGACCGGAGTCCTGGAGCCAGGCCTGGGCCTCCTAACAGGAGCTGGGAGGTGAATCAGAAGCAAATCCCAGAGCTGATGGAAGGAGGGAAGCAACAGTGGAGGGACAGTTATGATTCACTGAGGTGGGAGGGGCGAGGCCAGGGGAAGGAGAGAGCTCCAGGGAGGGGTCTATAAACGAAGACCTGCTGTTCTGCAAAGCCAGCCAGGTACAACCAAAAGGATCTAAAGCAGGACTTGGACTCAGGGCAGACACCACCAAGAACTCCCTAATCATGAAAGTGCCGAGGCCCTGAGACCACAGCAAGACAGGCTCTGTTATCTTGTCACCTACAGGGCTGAGTGAAAGAAAGGGACAGAACAGCATGTGCTCTTCCCCATGCTGGCACGCTGGGCCCCTCCCACTGTGGTCTAAATTCCAGCCTCTTTCAGGGCCCTGATGTCTCTCAATCCAGCACCCCCAACACCGACCGACGGCTCAGCTGCCCTAGGTACAGTATTCATCTCCCTGCACTTTCCTCCAGTCTACGTCCTCTACTGGTAATCTCCTGAGTGCTGAGTCTGCATCTTTTCCTCCTGGAATGCCCCTTTCCCAGCCTCATTTCCTCCCACCCCCACTGTCCAGGGTCAGCATACCGGCAGGCCCAGTGACCTGAACAAGTTGAACTGGCCAAGTACATGGACACTAGTCCAGCCCTACCCTGAACCTGAACGAAACTGGGCTTAAACCCAAAGGAAGTAGTCTGACACCAAGTGAGGACTGTCATAAAAATAGAAAACAAGGCAGCCTCAGCCACTGCCACCTCCCAAAAGGTGGTCTCAGCTACACCCTCGTTAGAGTTTTGGGTTCAACAGAAGGAGCAAGGGAGGGAGAGAGGCACTTAAAAGCATTTATCTCTTTTAAGGGTGTAGGGGGGCTGTTCTAGAGAGGAAATAACCTCAGAAGGTTCCTGATGGCTTTTAAGCCGTTGAGCCAAGAGATTCTTTTTCTTTGAGACGCAAAGATAATTTGCTTTCCCCACAGGACCCTGTTCAGGGAAATGCCACGAAAGAATGGCCTTTAGAGGATGTCTAAAGACAAATTTCAGTGACTTCATGAAATGGGAGCTTGGTGTGTGCCTTGGGAATTTGGCCTGTGCCCTGAGACCAAGGCCATTTAAAATGCTTCCACCAGATCAGGGGACACAAGAGAAGAGCCTGTGCACACTGGTTGAAAGTGGAGCTCCAGGCTGGGAGTGGGAAGGGAACCTGGGCCCACGGGAAGGGTCACTGCTCACCCACCCAGCCCTGGGGCCCACAGGCTGCCTACCAGGTCTCATGGCCAGCGTGGCAGCACAGCTAGCCTGGCCCAGCTCGTTGGTAGCGGTAGCCATGTAGTTCCCAGCATCAGCCGCCCGGGCCTCCCGGAGCAGCAGGGTGTGCCGCTCGCCCTCAGCCCGGATGAGAAGGTGGCCATCACTGCGCAGCGCGGACCCATCCTTCTGCCAGGACACTGTGGGGAAGCAGCAGGGGGACCGAGTCACTATGGTCCACAGGGGCCCACTGAGACGAATCTCCCCCCACCCCACACCCCTCACACAGAACTCAAACCACTCCTCTCCCCACCCTAGGGAATTGGAGGACCCCCCCCCCCCAGAAGCCCAGGCCTGCCCTCCCCTCTCAAAAGATTCTGGTGAAGCTCTAACACACACACAGGAGTCAGACCAGCCCCATGGAGCCGATGATCTCCCCTTTCCCCACCCCTCCCTGTCTCAACCTTAGCCAGGCCCCAACTCTGTAGCTCACCTTGGGGAGGGGGGTTGGCAGTGATGATACATTTGAGCAGCACATCTGCCCCTGGGGCCACCACCGCATCCCTCAGGGGGATCTCAAACATGGGGGCCTCCAGGGGCTCCTCTCCAGCAGACACATAAGAGTCGTCCGAAGACTCTGCCAGAGACACAGGTGACAGGGTAAAGGGATATGGTCCCTAAGGAGATGACTCCGGGGGAGAGGATGTGATGGTAGCCCCCCATCTTGGAAATCCAAACTCAGAGAGAGGGGCTTCTAGGATGTAGGGGTTGGGGAGCAAAAAATCTCTCTCCTGAATGTCCTGACAGAAGGAAGGTTCTCAAGTAGGACAGGGCAACCAGGACTCTACATTAGTTTGGCTGCTCTTCAGCCCCGCCACAGAGTGTTGTTTCTGGAGTAAGAGGGGAACTGTGCTGTGTCTGTACACAAATCAGTGGGCAGGGATGGTAGATCAGACCCTATGCCAGGCACACTGAGGAGCACAAGATATTACAAGCTTCCATACAGACTGAATAGCACCTGAGACATAAACAATAATAATGGTGCCACAGGGCAACCCATGGTGTACTGTCATATTAGTGATGCTGCCAGATTCATGAGAGGGAGTGGCAGGTGGTTCTATAGCCATCTGAGAGGTCTCATGAAAACAGCTTTGATTTTGTCCATTCATCAAACAGAAACACTGCACTGACTGCATGCTAAGTTCTGTTTGGCACCAGGGAGATAACAAGAAGTTAAGATGTGGTCCCTGCTTATAGGATGCTTGTACACACAAAAAGATCTCAGTATTTTCTAACTCTGACGTTTGATAGCTAGATAAGGCACAGTGCCAAAAGAGCAGTGAGAATCCCAATTGTGCTGTCTTCCAGCTACATAAACTTGGGCAATTAGATGACCTCTCTGTGCCTCAGTTTTGTTATCTGTAAGATGGAGCTGATAAATAATACCCAGTATCTTGCAAAGCTGGCATACAGACTAAGTTAAAATAACACCCTCTAAGTGCCCAGTTAACAATGCCCGGGACATGGCTGTGCATGTGCAACAACAATGACTAGTAGAACGCTGGACAGGGCCTAATCATCTCTAGAAATTTTGAGGCATTAAGACTTAAGTGAAAAATAAAGTGATTCTGCTGAAGAAAAATACAGGGTGTCAAGTGCAATGAAAAAGACATGCACAGGGTCTCCTAGGAGCGGCGAGTAGGAGCCTCTGGCCTGGGGAGGAGGCAGGAGGTGGGAGCCAGTGAAGGATGGCTTCTTGTGCCTCAACCCAGGAGTAGGTCCCAAGTTGATGCTCAGGATGAAGAGAGTTAAGGGGAGGGACAGTCTGGCTATTGGCCATCACCCACAGGAAGACTGGGAGACCACACACAGGCTGTCATGTGACCACAGTCAGCTCGGGGATGCAGGGACTCAAGGATAGGAGCGAGGAGGCTAGAAGGAGAGACTGAGTCAGATTTTAGTGGCTACAGATGGGTCAGGGGATGGTGTCAGGATGGGGAGGACGGAGATGAGAGTTGGCTGGTCCAAAGCTTGCCTGTAACAGGGAACTAACAAATGATTTCTTGAGACAGGCTTCCATCTCTTCCCCCACAGAAGGGTGGTGTGTGGAGGAGCTCCTTAGATTCCCACCAGTGCCTTCCATCACAGTTAGGTCCTTGACGGAACAGACTAGCATGCCACTGAACCCAGGGGGGTCTATGGCAGGCACCTGGGAACCGGGTTTTTGCTCACACCTGGGTTCCACCCCGCCTCCATAAAAACACACACTCTGCCTCACCAGCAGGCAGGTTTTAGCACATCAACCTTCACAACCCTTCACTCACACATGAGCTTGGTCCATGCCTTCCCTGGGAACTCAGACCCTCGAAACTGCCTAGCAACCTCCCTCTTCCTAAATGCGCTCCCCCCCAGGTCCCAGCACCTTCTGGGTGCTTCCCGAGGCCTTACCGAGCTCAGGCGAGGTGGGCCGGGCCCTACGACCTCTGCCCTGGCTACGGGTCCCTCGGCGGTCCCAGGCCCCCCAGGGACCATCCTCCTCCGGCCCTCTGCGCAGCCTCTTCTCGGCCTCAGGCCCCGCCCTGTTCTTCTCCAAGGTCTGGGGCACAGCAGCGCCCTCCGGGCTCGGCGTGGCCCAAGGCAGGAAGCGCACGGCTTGTGCCGGGGGCTCCCGCTTCCGACCCGGAGGGGCTTTTGTCCTGGCCTCGGGGGGATCGGCTGGGGCGGGAGTCGGCACAGGGCTCCGGCTCTCCTGGATGGTTCTGCCCCGGGTCAGCGGGAACTGGTCCCGGCGCCTAACCTCCTGCTGCGGGCCTTCCCCCAGCTCTGTCCTGCCTGCCGTCCCGCGGCTCCGGGGCCTCCCCGGCTCATCCCCAGGCCTCCCCGCGACGCTTGGAAGGGGCGGCTGGGCGGCGACGGGGCTCACGGCCCGCGAGGTCTTGGGGGTGGAGGGTTGAGAGAAGAGCGGGGGCTCCCCGGGCTCTCGAGGGGACGGGGCGCGCTGCAGCGTGGCGCGCAGTGACTCGTGCGAGCGCACCAGCTCCTCCCGTGACGTGGAGCGGCGGATGCGGCCCAGCTCCTGGGCGAAGCGCAGCTCGAGGTCGGAGGCCGGGCTGCGCTGCCTCGTGCGCTCGTCCAGCGAGGCAGCCTTCTGCTGGAACAGGCGGCGTCGCTCGGCCACGCTGCCTGCGGTCGCCCGCAGCTCCTCCTGAGAGGCCCCGGGCGAGCCCCACGCGGCGCCACCCTGCGACTTGGGCTGCTCCAGGGAGCGGGCCTTGCGCAGGGGCACCCAGGGCCGGAGGGGCGCCGGTGGCGAGTCGCTGCGCTCCAGGCTGCGCCGTCGCTCCTCAAAGAACTGCAGCTTGTCCAGGATGCGGGAGCTGGCGCGCACCAGCCGCGGCGAGCGACCCAGCGCCGACTGGCGGCCCGAGGCCTCGCTCAGCGGTGTCTGAGGCCGGGACTCGGCCGTGCCTGCTAGTGAGGGCCCCGACGACCTGGCCTTCTTTCCTCGCTTCTCGTCGGCGGCGGTGTCTTCGGGCAGCACTGGCTCCTGAGTGCGCCGGTGGGGCGGCGTGGGGGTGGCGGGGGGCTGGGCGCTGGGTCCCGGCGGGGGCCGCTTACCCACCCGAGGGGACGGTGGGGGCAGCAGCGCGGATTTGGAGGGAGGAGGTAGGGCCGGGCGACGTGGGGCTTCGCTGGCCGGCTGAGGCTGAAGGTCGGGCTCCTCCCTGTGCAATCCGCTCTGAGGGACACTGCTGTGGAACCGAGACGAAGAGGGGTAGAAGATTCAGGGGGCCTCCCCTCCTAGACCCTCAGCTTGTGACAGGAGTTGGTAGTGACATGCTGGGAAGGCTTGAGGGTGACATGGGCCAGACCTCCGCCCCCTCCCCCCAAAGAGGAAGGCACAGCCAGAGCAGGTGCTGTGCTGGGGAGAGGCGGCGGCCCTGGCACACCGGAAGATTGGGCTAGTGACTGGGTCCAGGTACAGACTCAGCCCCAGGGGCTCTGACCAGCCCCCTCCCCCCAGCCCCAGAAGCTGGGAAACAGCAGAAACAAAACTGAGGGGTGAGAGACAAAAGAATGAGGCTTAAGACCCAAAAGATGAAGTGGTAAGGGAAGGCAAAAGGGTTGGATGGGGAGGGGCCCTCTCAGGAATGCAGCCTCCCACTCATCCCTGCCCCCAACTTGTCCCCACAGTCCTGCCTGTCCTCAGCAGGACATACTCCCTTCACAGCGGCCCCAGAAGAACAGGCACAAGCCTTTTGAGCCTTCCTTCCAGGAGCAATGCTCCATCCCTGGGGTAACCGAACACTATCTCAGACCTGAGTCCAGTACAGAAAGGACACAGCAGGTGTCCCTAGGGTAGGAGACTAGGATACCCAGATTCCCATTCCATTTAATCAATCTGCCCCCAGTACAGGCCTTTGAATTTGTCCTGCCCCTGGGAAAGTTACCTGAGTCCTTGGAACTCCCTGGAGAAGCACAGAAGCTCCCCAAAGGGGTATGCTCAGAAATAACTCAGCTCAGAAATAACTACTGCGTGGGCCTGAATTGGGAGTGCAGGAGAAGAGGAGACGGGAAGGAGCTGGTCAGCCCAGAGTACCCCTCTCACCTACAGAGCTTTGAGGTCCAAGAGGTGGGCCTCAGTTTCCCCCATCTGGACCCTTGGGGAGCATATCAAACATAAGATTAGCAAGAAAAGGAATCTGAGATGTTAGCACCATACCTGACACATTAGAGAAAGCTTAATAAAAAGTTATGAAACGGCTTGTTGAGTACTTATTGTGTGCCAGGCATGTACAAAATGCTTTAAATGCACTGAGTCATTTAATCCTCACAACAATCCTTTCAGATAGGAACTGTTATCAGGTCCATTTATAGAGGAAGAAACTGAGGCTTAAAGAGGTAACAGTGCCTTAGCAAGGCGAGACAGCTAGGAAATGGTGCTAGGATTGAAACCCAAGGAAGTCTGACTCCCGAGCTCTTGTTCTTTCCAGAATGTCTGGGATTCTGGGGGCACAGAAGGGAGGAGAAATAGGGTATGCACCATGAGCAGAAGTTCCTGGGGTGCCTGAGCATAAGGATGTTTTAGACTGCCTGGGTTGGCCACCTCCACTGCAGACCCCACCTCTGAAAGGTGTGGGGGGCATGGGGATGGCCACCCATAGTACCCTGAGGGAGTGGAATCTCAACCAGCCACCTGCAGGGAGGCAGAATCTACTCTGGGGGAGGGACAGCAGAGTCTCTGAGGAGTGGCCCATGGGAACTAGGTGAGGCATGGAGAGAAACTGGGACAGCAGAGGAAGCCTCTTGCCGGCAGTTTCTAGCTCCAGGCCAGCCTCCATACCACAGACATCACTAAGGAAATGGGTTCCTCTGAAGTTGCCATAGCAACTCCAGGCTCTGGCTGAGGCTTGGCAAAGACAGGCAGAGAAGGAAAAGGCAAGTCCAGGGCACAGGAGCACCAGGTTAATGCCAACCAGATAAAGCAAGGGAGCCTCCCTACCCCTGCCCAGACCTCTCCCCTGCCCATCATTAGCCACTCCAACCACCTTCCCCACAACAGGCCCCTTCCTTCTCTTCCATGATGGTACCTCCCCCGACACACACACCCATCACAAAGCAGACCCCCTGTCATCTCCCCAAATGCCCCCCAATACCTCTTTCATCAGCCACTTCCCTCTTCTATCATAGTACTCCCTCCTGTATCTGCCAATCCCCAAATCTCCAAAAATGGCTCCAGTGCCTCACTCCAACACCTCCTCCACTCCTCAGGACAACAACCCCTACCAGGACAACCTTCAACCCCACCCTCGGTCTTTCCCACAAGATCATCACAGGCACCCCCATCCAGCATTCCAACCCCTCTGCCTCTACCCCAGCCCCCTGTCTCATCCCTCTCTGCCCTGGTCCCCTACTCCCCCACACCCCACATCCTCCTGCTTTCCCAGGCCCCTGGCCCCATCTGCCCCGTGACCACCTCGCTCTCTTCTCTCTCCTGGATGTGCTCTTGCTCTCTTGCTCTCTCCTGCTCTCCCGGGAGCTGCCGTGGTTCTGTTCCTCCCAGAAAAAGGCCCACAGGGAACAGGAATGTGCAGAGAGATGAAAAGGCAGCAGCTGCTGAGACAGCAGGCACGGAGGGGGCCCCAAGGGGGGGGGAATCCTGGGGACAACTGGAGCCTGAATGGGTGAGGCAGGAGAGGGCCCCTGGGAAAGTGGAGATATTAGAGGAGACAAGGAAGGGACAGAGGGGTTCAGAGACCATGGAGATGGCATGTTGAGCCAGAACAGTAGGTGTGGGAGGCTGTGGGTGGTGATGGCACAGGAGATGGATGGAGCAGTGTGGGAAGAAAGAGTGAATAGCTGGGGCCAGGAGTGGAAGCGACTGGGGGTGGAGAAGGGCACAGAGGGGCGGATGGTGCCGGGGAGATGGGGGTGGAGGCTGATGGAGCGGTGAGGGGCAGTGCAGGACAGCATGGTGAGGTGCAACAGTGCAGGCCCGTGTGAAGCATTACTTACACGTGGATCGAGAGCGCCCGTCCTCTGTACAGACTGAATGCGCTGCCATACAGGTCACTGGCCACCGAAAGGCTATCCTCTGACCCCCAGCTTGCGCCCACCAGATTAGCTCGAGATGCCCGTACCAGCGGCTCCACCCCCAGGTGCCGTGGCCCGGCCCCGGCTGCCTGTGCTTGCCTTGGGCTGCCCGGGGGGCGGCGGGTGCCACCCCTGCTGCCCACTTCCTGTTCCAGGACCGTCTGCCCGCTGCCCCACCAGCTCACTTGCTCCTCTGAGGTGCCTGTCACGGAGGTCGGGGGGGTGTCCAGGGAGGTGCCCACCAGGGTGTCGGAGCCCCCTAGAGAAATGAGCATGGTGAAGCCCAGGTGCCTCTCCTGGTAGGCCCACCCGCCTGCTCTTTGAGCACCCCAGAGATCTCACCTGTGGGGGTGCTGAAGGTCCTATCATCCCGAAGCTCCAGGCGCTGGGTCCCTTGCACATCACTGATGTCATCCTCGCCTGTCTCCAAGTCTGGAGAAACAGAGGTCTGTGTGGGCAGGGCCCTCCTCCCTCTCACTCCAACTCTTCCCCATGTCACCTCCTGCCTCCCCCACCACAAGCTCCATCTTACCACTGTAGGACTTCTGGTACCTGTCCTCACCTGTTTGCACCCCAAATACCCCTGCCTATCCCGGGCTGCTCAAGGTAACCCCTCCCATGCCAGCCGCCTGGCTCCATCTCTGGGCCCTGGCTCCTCACCCTTGCCTCCCTGGTAACGCCTTCAACTACCTACCATCCGCATCCCAACCAGTTAATGAATTACCAGGGCCTCAGCTCCGGTCCCTCCTCTCCTGTCAATGGTAGCTTAAGTTCCTGGGCAGCCCTCAAAATAACAAGGTCCTGGGTTCCAAGGCTCTAAATTCTGGGTTCCGGTACCCCAGAAATAAAGGGGAGTCACCTCAGAGTCGTATTGTCAGGGCACTCGACCAACCGCAGGACCAGCCTGTCCTCCACCCCAAGCCAGCCGGAACACATCAGGGTGCAGCTGAGGCAGGGTGAGGAGAGGCCGGGTTGGGCAGGGAAGAGGGGGGAGTGGAGGGCTAGAGCAGGAGCCAGTTTCCTACCGTAACTGTGCTTTCTGCAGGAGCGGAAAACTTCGCTTCCATAGGAGCAGCAGAAGAGAGACATGGACAGACTGTTATCAGAATGTTTGTGGGGTAGGGCACGGTGGGCAGGCAGCACAGAGGGCACAAGGGTACCCAGTGCCCAGAGATGCCCTGTGGGGATGGGAAAGGGAGGGGAGACACCTGGGATGGGCAAAGCATCTCTAGCTCTTGACTACCTGCAAGCTCCCAGTGTGCCCAGGGCTGGGAAGCTGCGTGCTATGGCTAGTAATTCCAACCACCCCAGTTACCCTGTACCCTTGGCACTTTTACTGGTGTACTCACTGGTCACACACACACACACACACACACACACACCGCCTGCTTGTGCTCAGCCCAGCCACCCCTCATTAGGGGTTAGGCTCACCTGCTGTTACAATATTTATATTGTGCTTTGACCCCTCCCTGCAAACCACTGCCTCATCTGTTCTGCATCATGACGTTACAAGAACCCTCTTCCCCATCCCTCTCTTCTACTGCTGAATGGCCCTCAAAAATGCCCAGTTAGGCTAGGAGAAAAGTTTCCTGGATATACTTTTAACTTTCCCAGACTATCAGGTTCTGAGCCTCAGTTTCTCTATGTGTGCCATGACAAGCAGAAGCCATGTACCAGTGGCCAAAGCATGGCAATGAGCTCATCCTCACTTGGTCCCATGGATGGAAAACAGTGAACCCAGGGTGGGGTGTGCATGACTTCCCAACCCCCCTTTGCTAGGGCCTCTCTCAGCAGCAGGGCACAGGGAGCCTTCTTGGGTGGGTGGGGCAGCATGGGCACATGTGTGTGTGTGTAGGGGGGGGGGTCCACATCTCATGAGCTGTCTTCCAGGCCTGGGTGCCTCATGTAGGAACATGGACCAAGAGGAGGAGTGGGCATGGGTTAGAGCAGGAAGCCCACAGTCCACACACCATGGGTGAGGCGGCTAAAGGCCCGGCGGGAGTGGCCGGTTTTCTGAAAGAGAAAAGCCAGAATGAGTTGTTGAGGGGAAGGCTCGCTTCTGACATTCTTATACCTCCTGTCCAAACATTCAGGGGCCAGTGGGCAGGGGGTGGAGGGGGCTGGACAGAGACTCAAGGTGGCCAGCTTCCGCCATAGGGAATGTCTCCACTCTTCCTGGCCTGCCAGCCCTCCCTGCTGGAGCTCAGCTTGGCTCTGGGGAGGAGTGGGAGAGGAAGAAGAGAGGGCAGCAAGGCTGTGGGTCAAAGCCCATAATGGACAGACTCACAGGACGGGACCTGAGCGACACTGCCAGAGATAGAGGCTCGGAGACAGGACAAGGGCTGACTGACGTGAAGGAAGAGATGGGGGTGGGGGAGTTAGTGTTTGCTTGGATGAGTAGGAGATGAAGGGGTAGGGACACAGATTCCTGCGGGGAGGAAGACAGATCCCTGAGATAGGTGTCATGAGGGCGGGGAGGGTGATGGGGGGCAGAGAGCAAGGTCCCCCAAAGGTCTGGGCCTCACGAATGCAGGAAAGAGGCCCGGGTACGCGAGGACAGGGCAGGGCTTGGGCAACTGATTGAGCGCAGCGCGGATCCCCGTGCCTGGCTTTCAGGAGCTCCGGAAGATGGAAGGCTCCAGAGCGGGGACCGGGAAAGCCGAGCAGGGCCCGGGGCCCAGGTTGGCTAGAGGCTAGAGGAGAGAAGGTGGCCAGGAAGCCAGTGGGCGCTCTACGCCAAAGGAGGCGCGGAGATCTCCCCGGGTGGTCGCGGGGACTGCAGGCGATGGGGCGGGGGAGGAGGGGAGCTCCGCGCGGGGAGGGGCGGGGGGCTACGCGCTCTTACAGCAGATCCCGGAGTCCCCGGGAGCGCCCGGCCCGCGGCCTCAGCGGCCAGGGTGGGACAGGCACGACTCCAGCGCCCCCTCCCCCGGCCGGGCCGCGGTGACCCGCCCTCCCTCCGGGGCGCCCAGCCCTTCCTACCCCCTCCCGGCGCCGCCCGCCCCCGGAGCCCTCACCTGGAAACGCTTCTTCACCCACAGCTTCTTCATGGCGGGGGAGGGGGCCGGGCGGGCGGCCGGGCGAGGAGGGGACGGGCGGGGGCGAGGCGGAGTCGGAGTCGGAGGCGGGGCCGGGGGCGAGCGGGGGAGCGGACCGGAGCCAGCGCTAGTGGCGGAAGCAGCCTGGGGGCGCGGGAGCCCTAGCCCGGGGAAGGCGGCGGCGGCCGCGCCCAGAGCCCGCCCCTCCCCCGCCAGCCGGCACCCCACCTGGCGCCCCTTCCCTGGCCTGCTCCTCTGCGTCCCCTGGGACGGCAGTCACCTGCCTCCCCGCACCCCCACCCTGCATCTGCCTCCTGGGCCCTGGACACATGGGGGAACTGAGGCACAGAAAGCGGTGCAGTGGCCCCCATGACAGATTGGGCCACTCTCTCATTGGCAGCCCTACGCGACCTCCACGCCACCCCCTTCCGCCTCCCGCGGGACCGCTCTGGAAGGTCAGCGCATCTCGACTTGCTCACTCTACAAACATGCGCACACGGACCCTGTGCCAGACGGTACCCAACTCGCAGTGGCCGTAGCGCGCCGCAGTCCACAGTGCCGGGTGGGGGCGCCTAGGTCGTCCACAGGGCGCGGACTACATGCTGATATGACCCAGACTATAAAAACCCCCAAGCTCCTCAGGAAAGCCAGAGAGGGCTCCTGAGTTTCTTGACGGTAGGCACTCTATCCCTGCACCCTGGCTCACGGACACACATACACACAAGCTGAAGTGCCAAGAGGTTCTCCTGTTATTCACAAATAAGACCCACCTTCTCACTCACCAAACTTTCTTTGTTCTCCCATTTAGCATCATGGACACTTTGCCTGCACAAAATTCTACTTCCCACCCAATTACTGTAACTTTCTTAAGTGCCAGGCACTTTATAAAAGCTACCTAATTTATGACAACATTGTGAGCTTGAAACATTTATGTGCATTAACTGGCTCTATTTAACCTACAAGGGTAAGATTCAGTAAAGTCCTATCACAGCCAAAGCCACACAGGTTGTCTCCAGGTGTCCCCCAGATCCAAACTTCCATCCCAGGATACACAAGTAGTGCCAATCCTGGTTTCTGAGCTGTAACTACAGAGTCATTATCATCAACACGTATTGCATGCTTGATATGCACCAAGCATCATGTTAAGCACTTGATATGAATAAACTCATTTAATCCTCACAACAAGAGGGAGACTGAGGCACAGAGAGGTTACTTTCCTAAAGCCACACAGCCAATAACTGGTAGAGCCAGGATTCTAACCCAGGCACTGATTGAGATAATGACCACAGTACATAAAGCCTCACATGCTGATTGGTCAGTAGGCTCTCGAAGTTTGCATAGGTCCAAATAAATACAAAGCCAACTGATGAGTTTGTTTAGCCTGCACAGTACATATTTGAGGATAAGCAAACATGCTCAAGTCCAGCGGCTGCCAACAGAACCTTGCTCATTATCAGTTTGTACTTGGCTCCTTAAGTTGAGTTTGTGGTCCGTTTATTTTTTAGTTTAAAGTCGTGTCTTGTGCATTCTGGGTACGTGTAGGTAGTCCTGTTTTCCATAACCCTGGAGGCAAATGTTGCACATACAGACACATGCATGAGGACGTGTGCTGAGAGAGTACACATGTGTGTCCATATCAGTTCCAGCCAGAGGACCCTGAATGCTCACAGGCACATTGCCTGCCCACCCCCAAACACACCCACTCACAGATGGGGGAGCTGAGTGAGGAGAGGGGGTAACTTGAGCCCCTGTTCTCCAGGAGAATCCGAGGGGCTGGCACATTCCATAGCAAAAATAACCAATGGGCAGCGGGCGTGAGTGACGGGACAGCTGGGCTGAGGAGAGGCCTGTGGGATTCTGTGTTCCTGTTCTGGGCCTGCTCTGCTCACCCCAGCAAGGCTGACCTGGGGCATGCTTGCAGGGGAAGCCCAACATTGCCCCGTTTTTTCTCCATGGCTGTACTGCTGTGTCCCCTGTCATTTCCCCAAACCCAGACTTCTAATTTCTGCACTGCCAGCATTTCCCCTTCCAGAGAAAACCCAGGTGGTCAATCCCTGCGTGATCTCCCTAGCAGACCCTCCTCTGAGCCCGTGTACCCACTCCCTCCTCTTTGCCTCCACTCGTTCATGCCTAGGTTCAGTTTCTCCTTTCTCTTCTTTTACTTATCCTAAGCTTGAAACCTTTTGAGCTCTGTATTTCTAACACACTATATAATTTTTACTTATTTGTTATGTTATTCAGTGTTGTCTACCTTCCCTCGCTGGTATGTAATCTCCAGGAGGACGAATTTTTATCTTTATTTTCTCCCCACACTCATGTATCTTAAGCACTGAAAACAGTGACGGACACTTGATGAACATGGGTGGGGGTGACAGAGCTGGGGTGAAGAGGACTACAGGTGGTGAGGATGGGGATAGTAAATCTTCCTGGAGCAGCTCATTCGTCCAGCCTTCCTCCCTTCTCTGTTCTGACCCAAACCTTCTCCAAGAAACAGCTGGAGGAGTAACCATCTCTCGTTCCACTCAGGATCCGCCTGGGAGAACCTGCTTTGCTTCAGGAAAGCTTCCGGCGGATTCCTGGGCCTCTTTGCCTTCTCTTTCTTTTCTCCCAGAGCTCCTCATGGCTCCCACTCCACCCTTCCTGCTCCCCTGCTTAGGACCTGGCATGAATGGAGGGCTTTTCATTCAGACCTTCCAAATTCCAGGGGAAAAAAACAACTGCAGAATATGTGTCAGTACAGGTTCTGGTGTATTCCCCACCTTTCCCTTGCCTAAACCACCCCTTTCTCCCTATCCCCAACCTCTCCTCTCCATGCTTTCAATCCCCCACCCCCTGGATGGTTTGCTCCCATCCTTCTAATTGACACCAGATTCCTCCAGACCCTGACTATGAGACCTCCAGCTAAACAGTGAGCATCGTCAGATCCTCCTTACCCACTACCCTTTAGTTCAGGCCTTCCCTTCCAGCCACATGCCCCAAGCTCTGGGGGTGGCACTTAACTCTGGTCACTTGATTTGCACAGGGCTCCTCAGCCCATGCAGGTGGAAGCCTGATGTTTTGTTTTGTTTTTAATCCTCACCCGAGGACATATTTTTTCCATTTTTTGTTCAGATAGAGTGGGAGGGAGGGAGGGGGAGAGAGAGAAACATCGATGTGAAAGGGACACATTGAGTGGCTGCCACCCGCATGACCAACCAGGGCCGTGGACAAACTGCAACCGAGGTACATGCCCTTAGCGGGAACTGAACCCGGGTCCCTCTGGACCGCAGGCCGATGCTCTAACCGCTAAGCCAAACCGGCCAGGGCGAGCCTGATGTTTTGAAAGAGAAGACTGCCTACCTATCTTGGAGACTGGGCAAGAAGATGACTTTGGGGATATTGACAGAAGCGTGGTTATGATGATAGATCCCTGCTTAGCCTTCCCACGCTTCTCTTTCTGAGGACAGGTAATGTGGACCTAAACCTGGAGACCTGGCTTTCATATCCGGCTTTGCCACCTCACTAGTCATGTGACCTTGGGTAAATTCCCTCTTCGAACACCAGTTTTCTTGTATGTATAATATCATAACAATAACCTGGGGCTGAGGCAGTTAAATAATGAAATGAGATCAGTATTTCTGCCATCTCCACTGTCCCCATTCTTTCCTCATTTCTATGTCCTAACTCCTACCCTACTGTTCTCCATCTTTCAAACTTTCCAGCCTGCAGCCCACTTGTCTTCTCAAGAGCCCAGCCTCCCCTCCCCAAGCCATGCCAACGTCCCTCCATTCTTGAGCTGACATCTCAGGTTTCAAGAGTGCCAGGAACCTCAGCATCAACCCCACCTTGCTAAGCCAGACAGCAGTCCCAGCCAGGAAACTGCCTCATTCCCTCTGCAGCCACGTCTGCCTGGGCTTCCTCGAGATCCCTGAAGCCCTCCCACTGTTGATCCCAATCAAGAAAGGTTTCCATGAGTAAGTCTGAGCAATGCTGAGCTGCTTGCCCAGCTGCCTCTGACCAGAACTTGTCATTGGGCAGAGACTGCTGAGGGCGGGCCGGCAACAGGAAGAGGAAGAAGCCAGACTTAGCCAGTCACTCCTCAATATCACTAAAGCAACACCCCCGGTCCCCAACTCATGTGGGACGGGTGTAGTAGTTAAGCACATGATTCCTTGCAGTGGAACAAACCAAAGCTTTTATCCCTGCTCTGCCACCTCCTATTTGTACAACAGGAAATGTCATTTAACCCCCCTGTGCCTCAGTTTCCCTGGGGCTGCTGTGGGACTTACTTGATATGTCAAAAGATGTGACAGCATACTGTCACACAGTAGCATGGTAGTTGTTTATACTATTATAACTTACTACTAAGAATTATTACCAATTAATAATGATCATAAGGTGGCTCTTGGGCTAAAGGTAGGAAAAAGTTCTCAGATGTGACTTGCTGCAGCCCAACCCTCTTCCTGTTTAACATGACTGTCAAAAGGCCCCAAGTCCAGTGCCACAGCCTCCAGGGTCCTTGCCTCTCCCACAGGCTGTTCCAGTAGAACAGCCTGGAGACCATCCCCCTGGCCTCCATCTGCGCATGCCAGCCAGGACTCACTCTGCTGGCCATGCCACCCAGATGACAGAGGGGCTGAGAAGGCAGCCCTGCCCGGGGGCTCTAGTACTCTATCACTCTGCCCACTTTGGGGGACCAGGGCAGGCTAGGAGGCTCTTATCTTCAGAAAGGCCAGGCCTGAGCTACTCCCCAGACAATGGACAGCTCCCCCTCATTTTCTCTCTCCCTCCTCTAGAACTCCTGGAGTAGTAAACACCTTCCAGAGTCAAAACCAGGAGGACCGGGTTCTTAATTTAGGGGTGGCCATACCTAGCTGTATGTCTTTGGGCAGATCACCACCACCCCCATTCCGGAACACAGTGTCCTCACCTGTGAAGGAGGCATCTGGAACTTTAGTTCTCTGTTGTCCTTTCCGACTCTAAGCAAACCTTCTGACCACTAAGCTCCTCAGCACTTCCCTTCTCCTCCCTAATATCTCGCCCCTGAGCTCTATCTATGTGCCTTTCAATTTATGTTTTGTTTTCAGTCCCCACTAGGGGACCAGAGCTAAGATCCCCGAGGAGTCCTTTCGCAGCCCAGAACTCTGGCAGGATGGGCCCATCTCTAACTCCAGGCTGGGAAAGCTTGTGCCTAGCCAAGTACAAGGCCAACCAAGAAAAGCCAGCTTTGGCGCTCTCTGCTGCAGGCTTGGCCTCAGGAGCTCCAAGGAACCAGTCATTGAAGACTGTAGGAGGGTGGTCAGGGACGGACTTGGGAGAGAGAAGATGCTGAGAGAGGGAGAGTGAACCCCTGCTCCATCTCTTGCCATAGCTGTACCTTAGTTCCTTCTTTCCCCCAGTTTCTGAGGTGCTTCATCCCTATGTCTCCTCCTCAGCCCCCAAGGATGAACCCCTACATGACACCACCCAGCCGGAGTGAGAATTCCCTCTTGAAAATGCCCAGGACACACTCAGTGACCCCCAAGCTCATCTCCCCTACCTGCTGCCTGTTTCCTCAGAATTCTGTTTCTCAAGGCTCAGTCAGCCCTTCGGCCGGGAGAAGGTCAAAGAGAAAGCCCAAACATGGACCCAAGGAGAGTGGGCCCTGGCCAGGCACCCCCACCACCCCCAACAGGAGTCTGACCACCAAGCCCAGCCTCAGACCGCTCTCCTCCTACTTGGGACCATCATCTGTCCTTTCACACGAGATGGGTAGGGCCCAGGCACCCGCCTCGATATCCCCTTTCTATGTTCTCCGAGGCTCAGCTGGACATATGGGTCCCATCGGCTTTCCACACAACTCGGCAAACCTCTGTCCCCGATCTGCTTGTACCACCACACCCCTCTACAGCCCACACGTACACACAAGCACATGCACACGCTGGCATGTGGATTCTCAGGCACCCACCTCCGTACTTGCCTGAGAGCCCCCAGCCCTAGCTCTACCTCCTGAGGCCCTGAATCCCATTTATTCATACTTGTCCACTCACTGGCCTCTTCCAACCAGCCTGATGCTGACCGTGCCAACGTGCTCCAGCAACAGACTGCAAGGAGCCCTGACCCATCCCCTCAGTGTTGCAGTGGGACCAGGGGGGCTGACTCTCTCCTTTACACATGCACACACCTATCAGGGGCTGATCAGGAGTCTCAAGTCTAAGTTACTGGAGCTGATGAAAATGATTTTCCACAGGTGGCCTCTTGCCTCAGGGAAACTAGGAGGGTGTCCACGGTGGAATCCCCAGAGATGCTTGAATGGGGCTCAGGCTTTGCTTATCCACTGCTGACCCTTGACCTCTGAGCTTCCTGTGGGGAGCTTCTCCACCTTGACACCCCTTTCCCTGCACTTTCTCTTGGTGGACCCTTCTGGGTCAATGCAGCTGAGAAGCCAAAGCACCTGGGGGAAAGTCTGGGTGAATCCATGTGTCTCGGGCAGTCCTTCTCTACCTCTGATCACCCACCCAGCCCCCACCTCCCCATTACCTCCAACCTCCAGCACTGTGACTAGGGCCTCACAGCAGGCCTGGCCCCGCTCGTTCTGGGCCTTGCAGCTGTACTTGCCGGCGTCCTGCGCCCCGCAGTTCCGCAGCCACAGGCAGCTGGGCTCGGGGGCAGGCGGAGGCAGGAGCTGCCCATCTCGGAACCAGCTGAGGCTGGGCTGGGGCGTCCCGCTCACCACCACCCGCAGCCGCACGTCGCAGCCCACAAACACTGCCGCGTCCTTTAGGGGCCGAAGGAAGACTGGCGCCCCGGCCACGGTCCCTCCGCCGGCCCCCACCTTGGCCCTCTTCGGGGGCACCCCGGGGCTGGGGGGTGCCCTTGTGCCCGCCTCCTCGCCTCGCATGCCCCGGGATTTCTGCATGGCCTCTGCGAGCTGGGCTGGGGGACGCTGGATCTGCTGGCCACGGAGACACCCGGGGATGGTGCCCTGGAAGATGAGTCCTGGGGGGCCGGCGCCCTGTGTTTCTGCTGCCCGCCCGCCTTCAGCCTGTGCTACCCAGAAGGTCACCGGGGCGGCCTGCTGGCAATTGCTCCTCGGGGGCTATTTTTAGGCCCCCCGGCTCCAGTTTCGAGGGAGCTGTGGAGGGAGGGGGCAGCAGAGGAGGACACTTGGACTTCACTCTGCTCCTTCCCCCCCTCCAGAAACCCCCATTCCCCCTCCACGCTTAACGGATTCCCAGCCCCCTCCCCCATGGTGTGTCTGCACCCAAGCCCACTCCGGAGGAGTCAGGTTACCCTTGGGCTCAATCCCTTTTCCCTTCCTCCCTCCTCTCAGGCCCCTGATTCCCAGACCCACTAAGCTGGGGAGAGGGACAAGAGGTCTTGGGTGGGATGTCTGAGAGGCAGATAGGAAGGAAGGCCCAGTGGAGGTGAGCAGACAGCCAGAGAAGGACCAGTGGCCTCCGGCTGCCTTCCTGACAGTGTGGTAAACAGTAAGACCAGGAGCAGGGAGTCAGGTGGATTCCGGCTCCCAGCTGGTCCTGCCTGTACTTGCTGGGTGACATCAAGCCTCTCTCAACCTCCAAGTCCTCATCTGTAAAAATAGGTAGTTGAATAGGATTGCAATAGGCAGAGAAGAGCGGGAAGGACATTCCAGGTAGAAGAAACCAGAAGAGCATGACTGAAATCAGAACATGATGAAAATAGGTGATGTGTTCTAGGAATCAGAGGAGTTTGGAGGGATTGAACCGCAGGGGGGAGGGGGGAGGGGAGATGGGAAATGGGGCCTGACCCAGGGAGATTTGCTTGCTAAAGTCTATTTCCCGGTGACAGTTGGGTGCCACTGCAGGTGTTAAGCGGCAGGATAACATGGTCAGAGCTGTTTTAGAAGGATGCCTCTGGCAACCGCAGTCTGGAGGGTGGACTGGAGATGGGAAAGTTGGAGGCCAGTTAGAGCAGTGGTTCTCAAAATAGGCGCCTGTAAAAAGTACAGATAACCAAGCCCACCACCAGAGATGCAGGTTCAGTAGGGGTGCTGGGAAGATCCAGGAGTCTGCACATTTAACAAGTGTCCCAGGTAACTGATGCATCTAAGGGCTGCACTTTGAGAAACATCAAAACAGGACATAACCACTTTTATTTTTTATTCACTGTTTTTTGTGTTGTTTTTTTTTTAATGCCAGCTGGCAAATTCTTTTTAAACGTTTTTTTATTGCTTTTTAAAGAGATAGGGAGAGGGAGAGAGCGAAACATTGTTAGGCTGACTCCTGCATGCCCCCTACCTGAGATCAAGCCCAAAATCCAGGCATGTGCCCCAATTGGGAATGGAACCTGCAACCTCTAAGTACATAGGACAATGCCTAACCAACTTAGCCACACCGGCCAGGATAGGACATAACTGCTTTTAAAAGTCCAAATGAGACTTTGTGCTGAAACAGTTCTGTATCTTGCCTGGGGTGGTGGTCACATTGGATTTACATGTGATAAAATTGCACAGAACTAAATGCATGCACACACGCACACATGCACACACACCCAAATGAGTGCATTATAAACCTGGTAAAATATGAAGAAGGTGGGTACACTATATCAATGGCAATTTCCTGGCTCTGGTATTGTATTATAGTTATGCAAGGTTACCATTGAGGAAAAACAGGTGAAGGATATACCAGATATCTCTGTATTATTTTCTATTGTAATCACACGTGAATTTACAATTATCTCAAAATAAAAAGGGTTGTTTTTAAGTCCAGGTGAGAGGCCTAGGTCTGACCTTGAGCCCTGAGGGATAAAGCCCGGGAAGGCAGGGAGGAGCCACGGGAGGAGCCCTGAGTCATTTGGAGATGGAGAAAAACATTCTTGTTTTTTTTGTTTTTTGTTTTATCCTCACCCGAGGACATTTTTGCATTTTTTGTTCGGATAGAGCGGGAGGGAGAGAGAGGAAGAGAGAGAGAGAGAGAGAGAAACATCGACGTGAAGGGACACATCGAGTGGCTGCCACCCGCACGACCAACCAGGCCCGGGGACAAACTGCAACCAAGGTACGCGCCCTTAGCGGGAACCGAACCCGGGTCTCTCTGTACCACAGGCCGACGCTCTAACCGCTGAGCCAAACCGGCCAGGGTGAGAAAAACATTCTTAAAGCTGTCTCCTTGCCCCCCACCTTCATTTTGGGTGGCCGAAGTCAAAGTGTGCTTGTGTGTGTCCATGAGGAGGGAAGAAAATAAACCATTTAAATACTGAGTTATGTCTGTAGGGATTAAGAGCCTTGAGGAATGAATTTTTTTTGTTGCTGCTTGCATACATTAAAGCTTACTCTTTATACTGTACAGTTCTTGGGTTTTGAAAGATGCAGAGAATCATGTATCTGCTACCCGAGACCATACAAAACAGTCTGATCATCCTAAATATTTGCCTGGGCATCCCCCTGCACCACCCACTGACCACCACTGATGATTTGGAGTCTTAACTGTAAATTGAATTCTAAAGAAAGGATTAAAATGTAGGGAAAGACACTGTAAGCAGATGGAACATCAAAAACAAAGGACTAGAGACTGTTTTTTAAAACTAATCACCCCAAACCACCTAGCACTGTGCCTCAGTGATTTGCATGGAATGCAGCAAATGGTCTATAAATGTTGGCTGATTGGTTGGTTGGTTGAATCTATAAACTGTGTGATCTTGACATCTCTAAGCCTCAGCTTCTTCATCTATAAAATGGGAGTGATCCAACTCAGGGTTTCTTCATTCATTCAACAAATCTTTTTAAGTTCCTACTATGTGCCTGGCACTGTTCTATGCCCTAGCAGTGAACAAAACAGACAAGGATCCCTGCCTTTGTGTTGCTTATATTTGTTGCTTATTTCTTCTTTATAAAGAAATAATAAAGCCCGGCCAGTGTGGCTCAGTGGTTGAGTGTCAACCCATGCACCAAGAGGTCACCAGTTCTATTCCCAGTCAGGGCACAAGCCCAGGCTGTGGACCAAATCCCCAGTTGGGGGCATGCAGGAGGCGACCAGTCGATGTTCTCTCTCATCGATGTTTCTATCTCTCTCTCCCTCTCCCTTCCTCTCTCTTTAAAATCAATAAAGAAAAAAGAAATAATAAAGATGTGTAGAAGGAGATAAGGACTGTGGAAAAATGGAAGAGGGTAATGGAGATAGGAATTTGGTGAAGGCTTGCATTTTCACGTAGGGTGAGGAAGCAAATGGCACCGATGTCTGGGTAGGACTGCTCCAGGTAGAGGTGTCCTCCAAGAGGAGGCAGGAAGCCAGGGGGGCTGGACAGAGACAAGAGGTCAGACAGCTTAGCATTTTGTAGGCCATGGCACCTTTATTCCTGGTGAACCAGAAAGTCATCTAAGAGGATTTTGAGCTGAGGAATTATATGATCTGATTTGGGTTGTTGTGATGGCTTTAAATTATTATATTAAATATTAAAATGAATATTAACTATTTAAAAAGGACCTGGCACAGAGCCTGGAACATGGGTGGTGTGTCCCCTGTCTGAATATTCACAATGGGAGCATTCATTGACGTGAGGGCAGAGGTCTGTGGGCCTGGGTAGGGGAGGCAATGGCTAGTTTCAGTCGCTGGTGCCCTCTCCTGGAGGAGCCTGCACTAGCTGTGACAGCGGTAAGCCATCAGACTGGCCAGGCCTGTCACCCAGGGCAGCTGTCTGCAAGGCACTCATCTGTCCCTCAGAATGGGCCCCACAGTGCCTCGCGGCCTGGCGCCAGGCTGGGTGTGTGCTGCCAGTCTGCCCTGACTAGCAATCACAAGCCTATGGTGTCATGGAAAGAGATCTGGGCTCCGGAAGCCAAGGAACCCTGGGCCCCGTCCTTCTCTGCCACTGATATGCTGTGTGACCTTGGCAGTTCACTCCATCTCTCTGGGCATTGGGGAGCTTCCTCTTACTCATAATGATACACCATGTGCCTGGAACAAGGTAAAAGCTCAGTAAATGTTGGTTGAATCAGTGCATGAAATGGAGCCATCGGCCTTTCTGATAAACATTTAATTTCGAGAAAACCAAATAAAAGTGCCCAGTGGGTATTCATTCAACAAGTATTTAAATATTAAAGAGCACCTGCAATGGACCAGGCACTCTTGTGGACACCAGGGATATAGTAGTGAATAAAAACCTTGCCCTTAGGTAGCTGACATTTTCGGTGTTGAACCGAAAGTCACTGATGAGTTTGTGTCCCGGGCAAGCCTGTGGAGAGAAGAGAGTGGGAGAGTGGTGGATGGGTGTGATGCATTGTCTCAAGGCGCGGAGGGTGGGAGGGCAGCCTGAGTGGACAGACAGGGTCTGAAAGTGCCCACTGAGGCCTCAGCTCCTGGCTTAGGAACATATTTGCCTCCACAGTCCTTCCTACTCGTCCAGTTGGTCTGGAACTGGTCCCATGGCTCTAGTTGGAAGCCTGTCAGTCTTCTGTGAGCCCTTATATTTCTCAATGTTCAGAGTCCTGAGGGAGAAGATGCCAAGCGCCCCCAGAGCAGGGAGAGGTTTTGCCATGGAGATGATGGGGTGTATGTGTATGACCTCGTGAGACCCAGGTCTTTTCTTTTGTTTATTTTTGTCCATTCTCTAGGAGCACCGCACCTGTCTCCCCACCCTAGTTTCCTTGCATTACTGTTCAGCTCCCAAGGAGAGAGACAAAGCCGAGGGCTCAGAAGCAGAATTTCCAGTCCCTGGAGGGCTCTGCTCAGAGAATGCTTTCCTACAATGGGACACAGGGTGGGTCTGGGCCTCCTCTCTTCTCTGAGGACAAGTGTGTAGTTATCACAGGACAAAGATGTGTGCTGAAAAGGAAGAACTTTCTTTTTAAAAATTTTGTTTTATTGATTTTTAGAGAAAGAGGAAGGGAGAGGGAGAGATAGAGACATGGATGAGAGAGAACATAACATCGACTGGCCACCTCCTGCATGTCTCCCACTGGGAATCGGGCCCACAGCCTGGGCATGTGCCCAGACCGGGAATCGAACCAGTGACCTCCTGGTGCACGG